CAGTCGAGGGAAATCTAAGCAGCGGTGCTGCTTTGTGAGAGCCTTCTTGTTGAGAGATGGGTTCTTCTACAGGCAACATCAGTCTGCTGAGTGTGACGACTAAGATAGGGCAAAAACAATTCCCTGCTGAATTCTCTCATAAAAAATTAAGGGTGCAAACCACATGTGCTTCCATTCTGTCTCCCCCCCACACACACACAGCAGTCTATTTCTACGGCCCAGCAGCGTCGCTTGTCTGTGATGTGGTGAAAGGGTGACCAAGAACTGTAGCCACCACATCTGCAGACCCACTGGGAAACAATGGGGGTGTGAAAATGAGCGACAGACATCTTACCACACGCACCACAGCCACCTATAAATGGAAGTAATATCATAAGGCACAAGCAGACACAAATACTGACACTCTGTGTTTCTCTCTCGCACACAAAAGTCACACAGTGGAGATGTGCATAAAATGAGGGACAGAGAAAACCAAAATTCTAACTGTGAAACTCCAATACGCCACACAGCCTGAGAAACCCTTTCTCTCAATCCTTTTTGCGGCCGTTTGTTTGCGCTGAAAATATCTGCACGTCACAGCGCCAGCCGACACAATGCACATGTGGTAGTCATCAATCATAATTATCATGGTTTAAAAAAGCCACAGCTGTTATTTGATTTTAAAAACAAGCCATAACACAGTGCCTTCCAACGATACGTCAAGTTGTCAGCGGAGGCCTTGGCCTGCGCAGCAGAAACGTCTCTCTCGAGCTTCCCAGTGAGCTTGCTGGAGCGCACAGCCGAGCTGAGCTGCATTCAACCTTTTCCCCATGACTCACCAGCTTTGTGTCTTTATTTTTAAACCTTTCCTTTCTGACACTCTCTTTCACTTCATTACGGCGTGCTTATTCTGTCTGAGAGCGCCGGCAGTTACGGACTTCACACAACGCTTGTTTATGGCTTCTTTAATCAGGCCCAGATAATGTGGAGTTGTCTCCATCTGTGAGCACATCCCCAGAAACAGGCTGGATATGCCTGAATGGGAGGCGTGTGCGCGTGTGTGTGCGTGTGCATGTGCAGCGGTGCTTTGATGATTCTTCTAGAATGCTCTAATAAATAGTTTGCGAAGTAGATTATTTGCACACATGCGATAAGCAGCATTGAGGTGTGTGTGTATTGTTTCCTGAGGCCAGGCACATTTTTGGTGTTGTACATGATGTCACACATTTTTTTTAATATGAAAGCAGTGGCATACACCAACATTTTGGGGGGACACACCTTGTGTGGCATATGGAAATGGCGGATGACTTGGGAATGTGATATTTTTTTTACATTAACAGCTTGAATGCCACACGTACATATACCTTTTTCAAATCTATAGTCACATGCTGTTCGATACATGTTAATCTTGTTTGACACACTTTTGTTTGTTTTTTCTGACAATCATTTTGACAACAAAACAAAAAAAAAATAGTATCAAACAAAGGATGCTTGAGAATTTAATGTGATTGGGTTTTCAGTTTCAGACAGGAGATATCAAAGAGCAACTCCTTTCTGAGTAAAGTCATCCCTAAGTTAAATATGAAGGCTTCATCCTATTGATGATGCCCTCATCAATGGCGACAAGAGAACAGAAGAAGGCTGAAAGTGCACACTAATGGAAATAGACATTTTAATGACGACACAGGAGAATATCAAAACATTTTTAACAAAAAAAAAAAAAAAAAAACAATACTGTTGCTGCTGCAGAATTGAGAGTTAGGAAGACAGAGCCTCCGGGAATGACAAACCACAGAAATCTTCAGACTGAGATTTCTGCAGAATTTTTACTCTTCAACATCTACAGACTCCCCCAGAAAAGGACATGTCATGTTGAGACCTGTGCCAGGTCTCAGCTAAAAAGTAGGACAAACTCGAGGTTTGCTCAAACAATCCTGCTACCGAGAAAGTTTGGTTCACGAAGTAGCAAGTTGACTTGGGATAACAACAGCTATCTGGCTTCCCGAAACCAAAAACCCAGGATATGAACATAGTTATCCCGGAATTAACTGAGGATTTTTACACTTATTCCACTTTTGAAACGGGACACCGGTGCTCGGGTGCGGCACGCAGCACGCTTCTGTGTCCACCTATCTGCTTTGAGCGCTGTGGTTCACGTTGAGAGAGGCGTGGCTTGTTATTGTGTGTTTGTAAGGGAGTGTTGTAATGTAAGCTTTTAAGTCCAGAACTGCTACTTGGGCCACACAGTACACACTGCAAAAACAATAATAAAAAAAAAAAACTACAACTATTTTGATAGGACACTTTTTCGTCCAGTAGAAAACGGACTGGTTCTCTAGCACCACCTAGTGTCAATGTGTGCATGCTCCTGCTTGGAAACTATTTTAGAACTTAAGACTTAACACTTGTTACACTTGTTGCACCGTTCAAGTGAAATGAGAGCAGGAACAACATTTAACAGAAATGCAGCAATGGGACCCACAGTTACTCTTATTATGTTCCAGAAATCCTAAATTAGGTAATCTTTTGACTTTTGGCAGGACAAACAGTAATGTGCTTCAAAAATTAGACATCGATCTGTGGAAAAAGGTGACGTGACTAGACGAGAGCCATATACAAACGATATAAAATATGTCACAATAAAAGTCACATATTTTCATGTTTCTTAGTTTAAAGTGAATTATTAATAATGTCATATTATTGCACCTTCATATTTGGAGATCATCTGGAGATCCTGTAAAAATAGCTTGACCTGCTTCTTATTCCGCAATGTATGCCTAGCCGACAAGGGGCAATGCATCTGGTTTTATGAAAATTTGGGGGGTGAGGGTGGGGGGTAATTTGATACAGGAACATTCACAGGAAGGCCAATAAGTATTCAGAAACTTTAGAGTTTCAGAGAGCTCTTTAGCTCTTGAACTAATGACAGTGCACACTGCAAAATCCAATAGCTCACCAGAACCTTAGAGTCAGAGATTTAAATAGGACACTACATTTTGAGTTTCTAATCTTTGGCATTTATCTGGTGCCTTTGATTCTAATTTCAAGGATTTATGAGTTCGATACAAAGACATTTTCCATGCACTTCAAAGGGGATTAAGAGCTTCTTTGTTTTTAAAAAGTCAATCCATTCCTAGGGATTTGCTTATTTTCCTAAGAATTATTTAAAATTATAGCATCATGAAAGAATATTTTCACGAAGTACATTGCATACTTTGTTTATGCTTCATCTCAAATTTCGATCCTGCAAGGTTTGGCTTTCAGGTGCTAAACTTAATCAGTCAACTCATTTCTCAGCTCAAGAGAAAGACCGATAGAGAATGTTGCTGATATCCGATGAGGCAACATTTCAAGGTGCCTGGGGTCATTGGAAGTATACAGAGAGCTTGGGTAACACAAACATGTCGAACAAATATCCTGTTCCTTCTTAAACATCTTCCAAATTTTATTGAATGTTTCTGTACATGGATTATTTCCGCTGCTTTTGCAGTCTCCGTTCCTCCCTTGTTTCGTTGGCCCGATCCTCCTGGACAGCACCCACTGTCAAAGCACTTTATGGTGCTCCATTTGATAAATCTGTGCAGCGCTTTATGTTTGGCTCGCCACCAAAAATCCAAATAGTGGGGGCTGTGTTTCTAATAAACTTTATTAGGCAAGTAGATTAAAATTTGATGAGCAGAAACTAAAAGAATGCACATTATTCACTTCAGTTGAATGTGCCTGACGATTACAAATCTCCGACTTCAGCTCTGCTCACATATGCATCCTTGACAAATGCCTTAAACTCTCTGTAGTCATAGCCAAGAGTCTTTGTAACAGGAAATTCTCATTCAAAGGAAAGTACCATGCCATTATGATAACTTCATAAGAAAGTAATAAATGCAAGCAGATGATGTAAAAAGGCAGACAGAAACATTAAGGACTGGCTGCTCATCCCCGCCAAGAAAAGTCCATCTCATTGGTTAAAGTTGAATGTTAGACTCCAATCAAGTGTCCAAATGTCTACAGTAGACAGTTGCCTTAAAGTGATTTGCTCAGGACTCCCCAAAAGTTGGCTTTGATGGATCATCATACATGATCTGTCATCATGTATGATGACAGATCTATTCAGCCTCCCGGCCATCTTGGTTGATTAGACAAACAAATAGCAAGAGTGTCAAAACTCACAACTGCAAAGTGCTTCCTAAAGCACAGTTTACGCTTGCTAGCCTGGTGGTCTGCCATTATGAGTAATGGTTAGTGTCATACACATATGGAAGCACACACACAGATGAAGCTGACTGTCAAAGACTCAAGCAAGACCCCAAAGGGCCATGAAAGCACAGAACTGATGACGCAACACCTCCTAGCTTTCATTGTGTTTATCAAACAGACAACTTTACATGACTGGGGCCATGCGAATATACATGTTCCCTTACTAAAGTCTGAGTCATTAGTTTGTCTTGAAATGCTAAAAAAAAAAAAAAATGGTATTTGCGTTTTGAAAGTTTTTCTATCTGTGCGTCCTGCACTTTATTTTTTCACCTAATGCAGCTGCATCAACACTCACCACGAGACACTCATTCTCACGTCAGCATAGAAACAAACTGCGTCTGTTAGAGCAATGAACAAAGAGGGAGGGTGGTGGTCTCCCAGAAAACCTGAGGGGGGGAAAAAGAGGCGTAATCAGAGAGGGAGAAGGAGAAAGCAAGAGGTAGATATAAGGGGAGCCTAAGGGGGTCAGATGTGAAAGAGAGTAGTGAGACATCTGGAAAAGAGAAAAAGTCCACAGGACAAGGAGGAAATTGCAGCTGCCCAACAGTGATTCATTGGGGAAAATTCTCTTCAGCATCTCCCTCTTCACCCTTTTGTCCCCCGACCTCTCTAACTAACCTCCCAACCTCTTCCCGTCCTGCTCCTGCTACAAATGACATTTTGCCAAGTGAAAACACATTTTATTGTTTTTTCTTTTGTTTTGTTTTTTCCACATCACACAAATAATATAAGGTATGCATTGATGCTTTTCCACTTTGTGCCTCCAGGGATCTCAGTATGAACAACATCAGCGAGATCCAGCCCAGAGCCTTCCATCGACTGCACCTGTTATCAGAACTGTGAGTACAAAATCATTCAGCTCACACTTAGCTTATGAAACCACTCTGTCAGAATTTACACTTGACAAGAAACAGACATTTCCTGAGCAGTTGATATGAGCAGACCTTGGAGATGGGGTTGATGGGTCTGGCTTGCCTCTGATCTCTCCCACTAAGAAAGTGCCTGCAGCAACACGCTAGTAGATTTTGGGATGGTGGTAAAAAAAAAAAAAAAAAAAAGAGGAACAAAAGGGAACCGGATAGTCACTCGGAGAGGGAATGCAGTCCTTAAAATATTTATAGGTTAGGTTTTACTACCCAAAGTACTGCTTTCGTCTTCTACCTTGACTTATTTTTCAGACAATGCGGCAGAGAAAAATACACTTGTAGACATGAGTGTTAGCCAACATAGACACAATATAGCATGAGGTCAGTGTAATGTAATTATATAAGCAGCACTCCAAGTTAAAAGAAGAATGCTTATGAATAATTATTGATCCTTAGTGCAATAATACACAGCAATAACACACATATTGCATAAATGCAATAATACACAGCTTAATATTTCTTGTCCGGTACAGTCACTGATTTTTTTTTTCATACTGTCAATAATTGGATGGACCCGAATGTTCTTTGGCTTAATCCAGAAAACTATATTTCTGTGCATTTTTACAAATGCACATTTAAAATTGACATTCAACTACATACATGCAAAAAACCTAAGTGCTGTTATGGACCTACATTTAACTAGCACTAAATCGGTGCAGTCACATCTTTAAACATTGCTATAAACGTTTAGTATTGAAGCAGAACATTGGGGAAACTGGCGCAAGCTTCTCTTTTCAGTAGGTTTGGGTATTGTCGACGCAGCTGTTTGTGCAAAATCAAAATCAGGTAGGTGCAGCTCATTCAAAATCCTGCAGCCAAATGCGTCTGGACCAGTCGTCTCATTAAAGAAAGGTTTTCTAAGAGTCCACCTCCATGTCTATGCTTCTCAGCTCTAAAACAAACTCCCTGAAAACCAGGGATGGGCAGGTGGCTCCTTTAAGTTACAATTAAAACACAATTGTTTACTGTAGCTTTCCGATTAATCCTCAGGATATTTTAACACTTCTGCACTTCAGCCCAAATCAGTTGTTGAGTTGTGGCATTTTCTCTGGTGGTTTGGTGTCCTTTCATACAAAGATTCTTCCAAGTGAACTAAAACCTTTCGCTGCAAACCACGAGAGAACATCCAAGCTGTTTATTGGTTAGGTGTGTCCAGGGCAGAAGTATCAGATGTAAATGCAGAAAGCAGATGTTGTGTCCTGAGCTGGTAGACAAAAACCAAAACTGATTATTTAATCATATAATTACAGTGGTTCTGAGTACTATTTCAGACATTCAGCTGAGAATGCATTCAATTTATTTTTTCTGTACATTTTTTTTAATCATGTATTATGTATAATTGACTTTTTGACTATTATATAAGGATTAAATTTCTTCTGAAAGTTAGCTGTGCTTTGTTTGTCCTGAACCAATTTGATCTGTGACAATCGAGTTTAAAACTTGAAACTGTTGCTTGCTGCCACAGCACAGCCTTCACAGTCTTAGGAGTTCCTTTACATGAACAGATCTTTAGTGTTTGAATATTTCCACACAGGTGTGAAAACACCATTTTAAATATATTCAAAATGACATAATGTTTGTGTCTTCAGAAAGAAAACCTCTAGTTTACAATATGCAACATTTAGCAAAGAAATGCCACTGCCTTTTGAACGTAGACTCCAGTGACATTGCCAATATTTGATCTGACGCTCAGCATATCTAAGCTAAGTCCCTGTTTAAGGAAAGAAATAATATATATATATAAATAACAGCTTGAAAATGTTCCCTCTGGTCGTGAATGTGAGCATGTCACTCTTCTCAACTGTTTTTTTCCTTGAGTCCTGCAGTGTGTGCGTGTACAGTGGACCTGATCTGTGGGCGTGTGTGCAAGGGTGTGTGTGTGTGTGTGTGTGTGTGTGTGTGTGTGTGTGTGTGGGTGTGTGTGTGTGAGCATTGTGTGTTTGCACAGCACACTGTTTTCTTTACTAATTCTTGCAGCTGCAGTCTGTGAAGCATGAGATGATGGTGATGATGGTGATCATGGAAAGAAAGAATAACTGAGTAGCTACTTTCTTCACTTTGAGCCATTTTCCAACTGTCCTTTACCAACAGAACAAAGTTGAGTATTTTTTCTATTTTATTTATTTATTTTTGTCGTAGGATTTACACATGCAGTTCTGAGCATCTGTCAACCAAAACTTCTTAAAGAACAGATATTGGTGTTGGTCAGACAATAACAACCACAGAAACAGGGTTATGTTGAACATAGAAGCTGACATTTGTCTGCCCTTGGAGAATTAAGGGAATGCATTCTTGGACTGAGCCACACCTGCAGAATTTGTCTAGAGCCGGTCTTCTAAATGTTTTACAACCACGTTGATCTCGCTTCGCCTCTATTGCTTTGGAATTCTGACGCTTTATGGAGACATTCAGCTGCTGTGTACTTCTTCCAAGGAGGATGTTTCTACTCTAAAGCCAAGGTATGTTGCTTGGCCATTTCTGGAAATGTACTGAGATGAGGAAGATGATAATAATGGTGTTCCAAGGCAGGGAGAAATCTAACATTGCTGTTTTTCATTTTCACATCCACTTCTGTCTAGACAGTTTAGAGAGATGAGTTAAAGCAGACAACTGTAAACCGATTATAATTGAGACAACTTATAGTGATTAGCAAAACAAACCAATGATCGAAGGTGGGCTGCTTTTGCAACAGGCTGCTTTTGATGTGGGGACTATCACACAGGATGGTAGCAGAAGGAGAGGCGAGGGCCAGGCGTGTTGTGACTGGTGGAGTGGTAAACTGTTTGATGTTGGGCTGCACCTTACTGCCTGCCCCCCTCGCTCTGTTTTCCTCCCTTCCAATTAATTCTATAGCCCCCTCTGTTCACTTCACTGCAGGTTATTACAAGCTGGAAATCTCTGCCTTTGATATTGCTTTTCCCACATTTTTACAAACCAAGCAAAGCAATCAATGCAAATCTGCTTTTGGCAACCTACTTGGATCTAGTGGAAGAAGCGAGAGAGTCAGTTTTGAGGAGCGTTGGAGTGCCATTTTTATCTTTTTGTTCAGTTCTCCCCCTCACGATATGAAAGTACAAACGTTTAATCTTTGTATGATTCACCATAACATCAACACTTTGTCTTTCAAACCCTATTATTGCCTCTAATTGCCCTATTTTTTTTTAGTTTTACTTTATTGATATCCAGTGCCTTTTATTAAACTTTCACTTAATGCTTTGATCAGTGGATCCTCTCTTAATTTACACTCAGACCTCAGTGACACGCAGCATGAAAGGAATAAACTGAGAGGTGGATGGTTTAATGAGAGGGCAGAGATGCCCACACTTAAGACACACTGACTGCCGAGTTGTCTGCCTGATATTTCAAAGACATCCCCCCCCTCTTTTTGGTTGTCTGCTGTGATATCAAAGATGGCCTACCTGGTTCTCATCAAATTGCAACTAGGAGGCAGAAGGGGGATGGTTTCCCTGTAAAAAGCTCTTCCTGTAATCCACTTTAGAAGGCGACAGTGGTTTCTTCAGCCTATCATCTTTATCAAAGTCTCCACACACCGTGGAGCCACAGATCACATTTCACTTTTCCTTCTGTTTTTTGGCTCGCCACAAAAATCGCCAGGTTTTGTCAAGTCTGATCGTATTTAGCCATCAATCAGCTACATTTGGTAATTTTACAATAAAAAAGGGACAATTTGACGCCCTCATCAGACTCTCTGCTTTTTCTTTTATTGGCATAGGAAGCTATGTTGCCTAAGGCAAATAACTCTCCTGCATCACCTTCCTACCCATTCATTTTTGTGGTATGTATAATTTGACCACCAGCTGATGTGAGAAAAAAAAAAAAGAGTGGGTGTTGCAGCTCTCTGCAGTTACCACTGTTACCTACACAGCTCCAACTTAAATTTCACAATCGCCCAATACCATCCTTAAATCCACAGAAATACTAAGAAAGTAAAGATGATCTTAACTCTCCATGAAATGAACTTGAAACTGAAACATGACCTACTTTCTGATTAAATCAGTAATTTTTTCTGAGCACTGGAGCCACTGAAGCGTTCAACAGACATATGCCTTGCGCATATGCACTAATTAAAGAAGGACAGAAACGGATAATGCTGTTTTTCTAGATGCATTTTTTTCAGTACTCCAACATTCACAATGTGACAGCAGCCTAATATGGCCATATAGGAAAAACTATTTGACAAAGCAGCTATTTTTTTTATTTATTTTTTATTTTTTCCATTTTCTCAAATTCAATTTAGCAAATTTGCATTTTTAAATTGACACAAATAAAACATGACGGCTTCATTTCTTGGTCAAAAACTAAGTTGTTATCAATCTAACCTTGTCTTGACCACAAACAGAGCTTAGAAATATCCATCCAGCCTCGTCAAACAGCTTCAGCAATCACGCTTTCTGCAACGCGGTTAAAATGTAAGAGGAATGAGATCGGGAGAAGAAGCCAGAGCTACCCTGCTCCACTTCTGACCGATAAGATTGTCTGCCGATAAGCCAGGAATATGACGCGGCCGGGGTTTGAGGGGTTATGATATTGGCTTCGTTGATGCTCCAGGTGCAGGCCACAGCTGGGATTATCAAGGTCAATTGGAAGTTCTCATTTTAAAGCTGTCAACATGACCATTTGTCTGCAAGTCTATCTCTGAGAAACACACAGCCTCTCACACAGAACAGACACTCCTGCCGTGTGTGTTTTACTCCCACAAATTTGGAGGTTAATGACAGGTTAAGTGGTTTACCTTGAACTGAGGGGTCAAACACCAGTAAGGCTGCCATGGTCAGATTTTTACTTCTATGTGTCACAAATGAGCATGCCCAAATGGAAGACACTGCTGTGCAAACTGGTCCGTTCTCAAATAAGTCCTGTTTAATCTCTCCGTCTTCTTTCATCGTCAGCTCCTATCACTCACCAGCGCTCTGCTTTTCTTCTATCACTATGCAAGATTGGATCCAGAAAAAACTATCTTGTTTTTCGTCCTCGCTCCCTAACTCTTTAATCTGTCAGTTTGTTTATTATTCCGAGGCAATAAGACGCGGCGATACGTAGGATAATCAGCAGTTGGCATGCTTCAGTAAAGTGCTCGTTGATTAGCGCTGATAGCAGGGTGGTCTCACCTTCATGCAAAGCAGCGCCACTCCTGTTTTTCTCTCCCCTGTACATTTCAACACCACTGTCCTCTGTTATTTTACATATAAATCATTTTAGCAGAGCTGTGCCGAGGTGGAGTTTTTAATCCATGCAGAGCAGGGGCCAAGAACAATTCTAGCAATCCCCAAATCAAATTAAAAGCAAAAACAGTCGGAGCCCCGGTTTGACAAGTGCAAGGCGCCTTTCATTAGAATGAGATTGATGTGGAACGACTCGAAGCCCGAGTGTGGAACATTCGCTCAAACGTGCAATCTTTTACACACAAAAATGCACACACTCATACCATGGAAAGATTTGGTTCATGGCAACTGTCGGTGTTCTGTTGGTGTTTTTTTTTTTTTTTTTTTTTCCCTTTCTTAAATATTCATCTTCACTTTTGACAAAAATGATCTGTTTGACAAACAAAGTCTGAAAATGGAGAAGGAAAAAAAAAAGCCAAAGTATATTTTGGATTCTGTGGTATAGTTCTCTGACTTGATGCAATTATTTATTTTTCATCCAGCACATACAACACTGATCTCCACTCGTGGACAATAAATAGCAACTGGCAGACTAGATAGTGTGTTTGTCGTTTTATGTAAATATGTGTAATGACAGAAAATTGGCTCTTTTTGAGAATATTAATTAATCTTTTTTTTTTTTCCAGATGAAGCAGATAAAGCAGAGCTTATCTGAACATCTCTTACATCTCTTAGCGTCCAATCAGTAAGAGGACTTGCATCAGAAATCAGAGTGATGTTTTGGTCAGCAGTGTTTCTTCACCTGCCTATATCCCACATAACCAACAGCTTTACCATTTGATGGTTCTGATCACTTCAGTTAATGCTTTGGGTCTGAACTTATATCTCAATTCGAAGATGTTGCTATGTTTCTCTCTTGCTGTTGCACATGTTCCAACTATCCTTGCAACTCTAAACAATCGATTATATCAAAAAGACAAAAATTAGTGCCTCTCAGTCTCCATTCCCGAGCATATTTCATGTCTTACATCCTTGCTTGAAGTCATATGGTCAACTGCCAGCAGCAGTTCATCATGACAACTTCTTAATTATCTTCCAAACAACACTTAAGGTTATTCTAATCACAGTTAAAATAAAATCCCAAGGATTGTTACAATTGGCGTCAAAATACATTTTTCATACACAAGAGGGGAGACAGCATTCTGGAAGACAATTAAGTATAAACTCAGTTCAAATACTGGTTTAGATTTGCTTTACAATTGCGTAGAGCTTTCAACACTTCTCCCTAGAAATGTGGCTTTTTAATTGCCTCAAATAGCAATCTTATGGAACAACAAAACCTGACACAGCCCGAGGGCTGGAGAGCTTTCGTTCTTTGAGAGACAGTAAAGCCATCTGTTGTAAACAAATCAAGATGAACGGACAAAAATGAACTTCAATTTTGAGATTTCATAAATTCAGGGACCATGTCTCCAACATCCAGACACTGTGAGGGACATTTCATCAATCACTGTAGCATTAAGTAACGCCTTTATAACTTTGTATTTTATCATGCTGATGCACATAATTTTCTTTTTTTTTTTTTAGTAAGCCTAAGTCACACACTGAGCTGTGTTTGAGATTTGGCTTTTGTGATCGGAGTTGTGCGGTTCAAGACCCTGCAGTAATAACCATCTGTGATGCTGACAGCAACATCAGACGTCAGATGAAGTTTTTCCTGAGTTCTTCATTTCTGAATGGATGATAGCATGTTGGAAAAGCAGACAGTCCTTGATACTAATATTTCAGTACATTGATATTCATGTTGCAGCTTTGCCAAAGAAAAAGCTGCTTAGCATAAAGCTGCACCTGCAGAGAATTGGTCTGATTTGGAGGAGGGTGCCAATGACTAACCTTTAGCGTATGTGTGCGCGTGTTTAATAAAAGTGGGTGGTCTTGGGCTGTGAAGAACCAAAACCGTGTTTAAACTGAGATTCCAGCTTGTGACCTTGGGAGTTAAATCTGTTGGGCTGAATGTTATTTATTTGGATATCTCATGCACACACTCGCAAATGACCATTAGGTGCTGTGTTTGATAAACAAACTGATTGGATTGCTTGTGTGAATGTGTGTGGTTTCTCTGCCGTGCTGTCCTCAAGGGCCCTCAGAACGGGCCCGATTTCTCCTCAAGGACATGAGAATAGACACACACGTTCACAAAGCACATGTGTTTGTGCGCACAAACACTGCATATGTCCCCACGCACATATAATTTCTTGCAGTGCACTCAGTTTTTACTCACTCATCGGAGCTCCCAGGATTGGTTAAGGTTTCAGCTTGCGTTTTCAGCCAATAGTAACCACACAGAAGGGAATCAAATATTGTTATTTGCATACTGCCCCAACTGTAACCCCACAGTTGTAAATATGGAATGAAGTCATATTGTCCTCTAATCCAAAATCTTAGAGGAAAATAAACGACAAAACTGTTCATCTGAGATTTGGACAACTTTTTAGTTAGTGCAGATATGCTTGGATTTTTACTTTAAAACGGCTCTTTTCTAAAAAAAATATGTTTCTCTTCCAGACGAATCTCCGGGAATCAGCTGAGGTATATATCAGGCAATGCTCTCCAGGGTCTTCACAACCTCAAAGTTCTGTAAGTAAGCACCTTATGTCTTAGTCCTGTTCTGATACGGCTTAAACTTAATCCAGGGCTGAACAATCTTGGATTGTTCTGAGAAGCAGTTTTTCTGCCTGAAATAAAATGCACTGGCCATGGATTATTAAACACAGTTAAAGTTTATGGATTGGGAGAGACATGTTCTGCTTATAATTCCCTTCAAGTCCTAAACAAGTTTAAGTTTCAAGACTGGATTTATGGACATACACAAGTCTGGCCTTCCAAGTCAGACTGCCCAACAGGACAGCACCGAGTGTCAAAAAAATGTCTTCAGAACCTGTTTGAAGCAGTTGTTTTTTTTTTTTTTTTTTTTCTGACACTGCAGCTCTCATTCCATGCATGGTCAAAGTACAAGTCGGCAATAAAACACATACCGTAGTACCTTTGGACGTGTGGCATTCAATGAGTAGTGGTCATATTTCCAGTCTATTTTTAAAGGTTCTAAGGAGATTTTCACAAGCAATGGCAGGCAGCCCGTCTTTGGTCTTGGCTCAGAGGATTTTGGGGATTTATGCCACAAAATATAAACTTAGCTATTTACACTGCAGTTTGAAATCTGAGGAAATTTGGAAAGAAATAAGGCAAAGCAGTGTATATTTTGAGATCATGGTTTGTGAAACCCTCCAAGATATAAAAGGCCTACCAGCCATAAATTCAACCGATACCAATAAAAAAAATAAAAAAAAACAAATACATGTCTAAAGGTTTTCATTCACACTACGACAGTGAAACTAACTTCAGGAGGTAGGCCTCAAGGCAAACAGATTCCTTTCCAGGATTCTCTTTGGAAATGTCAACATCTCAAATGCTGTGTTTCAATGCCTTGCAAAATTATTCATATTCACTTGATCCTTTTTAAAAAAATGTTCCACGTTATCACAGATTTTAGTAATTCAGTAATATTTAATATTATAGAAAACAGAAGAAAGATTTCAAAGTTGTTTGTAAAAAACATTAAAAAAAACTGCCATCCATTTTTATTTTGCTCCTTTTTGCTTCCAACCCCTGAATAAAACCTTGTGTAATCAGAAGTTATCTAATTAAGAAATAGGGCATTGCATTTAATCTCTGGGTAAACACAACTGTTCTGCGAAGGTCTTAGAGGTTTGTTAGTGAAAGTTTGTGGACAAACAGCATTATGGAACACAACAGAAAAGCCTGGGATAAACCGCTGGGGAAGCTTATGGAAAGAGCACGGCACAACTGCAAAACAACAAAAAACATCACAGTTCACCAAAACTGGAGTGCGTGGCAACGTTGGTGGAGCTGCAGAGAAGCAGACCTTCAATGGAGGAAAACTGTAAACGAAGCCAGACGCCATTTATCTGGCTTCTTTAAAAGAGAGGCAAAAAGATGATGCATGATAGGAGGCTTTGTGGTCAGATGAAACCAAAATAGTGAAAAGTTATTTAGTCCATTTATTTTTCTATTTGTTGTTTTTTTTCCCCACTTTTCATATTTTTTATTCACTTGCTCATTTGCTCACTGGAATGGAACTGTTTAGTTTATATGCAACTCGCTACCTGTGGTGGAACTGTAACACTGACCATCTGCTCTAACACTCCATTAACAAAGTAGATAATGGTTCTGGCAACATCATGCTTTTGGGGTGTTTTTTTCCATCAGTCAAACATGTTAAAGCTAATCGGGAAATGGATAGACTGGGGAAGTGGGGCTACCTTACAGCAGAAAGACTCTTAAATTTTAGCCAGAGCACCAATGGAGTTGTTTAAATAAAAGCATAGACATATGCTAGAATGGCCTAGCCAAAGTACAGCCATAATACCAGCAAGTCATTGGAAAGACACAGGCTATTTATCCAATTGTAGTTTCTTCAGGTCAAATTTTTACCTACTATTTTGAAGATAATGGCAGCAACAGTCACATCATTGTAGCTGCCCACAACAGTACCGCTAAGAAACACATTGAGATTGATGTGCTTTGTAGAAACTGATGCTGAGCGATAGCTAGAGAAAATGAAAACTGAAGGAAGGAAGAGAGAAGAAGATTGTTTCCTTCTCATTTCCCCCTCATTTTTGCGCCATTCTTTTGAGGGTGACATCACCAGCCCACCCAAGGAGGTCCTGGTTGTTTTCCCCTTTTCCTCTGCTTTTCTTCAGGCTTACTCAGACCACGTTACCTCCTGTGTCAGATTTCCGTCACAACGGAATTATTTGTTCTGCTTGATGTGAGCTGACAAATTAACTGCACTGATCTGATGCCTGAAGCTGACACATTTGTTTGTGCCTTTATTAGGATGCTACAAAACAACCAACTGGAGAGACTTCCTGATGATGCTCCATGGGACCTCCCCAACCTCCTGTCCTTGTGAGTCTTTCTCTCTCACTCTTTTTGCACACACATTCTAATTTTGCTGCTCTAGCTGGGAATAAAACACTCTGTCCACGGCCACCCGCACTTGTCAGCTTTAACCACAGTGCAGGTATAGTGTACCGCTGACAAACTGCAGACTGTACCCCCGGTGTCGGCTGCAACGGTCCTGCTTTCAATGCAAGAGCCTGACGGTAGGAGTCACGGCTCCGATTGTGTCATGGTAGCATCTGGAAACCATGAGGGAAACAGCAGACACTGAAGGCCAGCGAGAGCATCTCCAATGAGCTGTGAAACAACCCCATTTTCCACCAATTCTCTCTCTCTTCCTCCTCCGTTCATACTCCTCCGTTCTTCCCCCACCACCCACGCAGCTATCCCCCCGGCTAATGAGCGTGTTTGGTCGTTTAATTGTCTAATCTGTGGGGTCAGCGTATAAATGTCAGCGTGCATGTTTAGACGAGCGCATTTGGACCTCCAGTCTTGCAATTCCTCACCCCTGCCTGTTCCTCTCAACTTTGCCCCAAAATGCATAACCCACTTCTCCGCTTTCCAAATTAATAATTCTCTGCAAACATTCTCTCTTTCATCAGACAGATGCACAAATTGCTCGAGTTGTAATGTAGGACAGGCCGGGCATGAAAGACATGAACTCCTCTAATGAAAACCTACAAAGTTTTCCTGTTTGCTGTGAAGCGGGCCTCTGTTCCCCAAATAGCGAGAATCCTGCACTCTCTCTCACACACACATATTCATGCGCACATTGCAATTTGCATTGACTTCCACTCGCTTTTCATTCATTTCTATAGCTTAACCCTGACCTTTTCCCTAAATCCACTATTACCAGTTCATGCATACCCCTGCACCTAACCAAAACTCAATTCATACCTTGCTGTTTTTTTTTTTAACTTCTGTATGGAAAGATTAAAAATGACTGAAGATAAATAAATAGAAAAATAGTCCTAAACCTAACCGCCAACTCAAAAGAACTTTCTAATGAGCTCCAACATAATATTTGTTGAAAAACTAGATCTTACACTATAACAAATACAAGGCCACACACACACACACACACATACACACACGTGTACCTATTTATTGCTTAGGGTCTCCATTAGCTTGGCTTTATACCCAGCTGCTCCTCCTGGGGTCCATCATTGCCAATGCACATGGGACAGTAGAAATCATTCAAATGAATGACAAATGACGAAACTAAAATAATTACAGTTCATACAAAATACTGATAAATGTATACAATGTACAATAATTAAGCATTTCAGTTAAAAGTATGTTGCTCCTAAAAAGCTTTTCAGATTTCTTTTATGAGAAAAAAAATATAAATATATTCTGTTAAACTTTTCTGAGAGTTAATGGTAGAGAGTTGCACTCTTTTATTAAGCACAAATACCATCTACACTGTATAGCACATACAAGGAAATGGTCTACGTGTTGCTGTACGTCTGATTAAACAATGAGCTGTCTCATCGATACCTGGTTGTCTTTAGGTTCTGTGTGTGTGTGGGAGGTCTCCTTACAGTGCTTTTGAGATCATGTAATGAAAAAAAAAATGCACTCAAATATACACACAAAGCCAATGAACAGAGACGCTCCTTGTCATTATAGTAATGATAAGCTCTGAAGAGTAAGATTAGTGGAAAGGCTTTTGAGAATGAATCTCGTTGGCGCCTCTCATTGGCATAAGGCAAATCAGGTAAAACGGTGGAGATGGCAAATGAGTCAGCACATGGATCTTACATTGGCATAAACACATACAGAAGTTTATATCCTAAGTAAACCATTGCTTAATCTCAGCAAAATTCCCCGTAAGTGCAGGAACTGATTCAAAGTTTTTCTCTCACCATTTGAAACAGGATGCAGTGTTGTTGTTGAGTTTGGTGCCCGTCACAAGCTGACACATGTGTTTTGGGCCTCAACCCGCTGGTTAAGAAGCGTAATCACCACTGATGATCTTCACAAATGGCTGTAAATCAGCGCAAGCCTGTTTTTTAGAGATTTGACTCAAAACACTGACTTTAAAAAATGTGGTCCTCCAACTCCCTCATTGCATAAAAGCTTAGCCATCTGGAGGATTGAACAAACTCAAGCAGGTTCCCAGATCTCTGGGGTATTTTAAGAGATCCTTTTCTTTTTCTGCCTGCTCCTCATTCCTATAGATGTTGAATAGACTGATGTGATGGGCAGGAAATAGTCTGCTTTATTGGGTTCAGTGGAACATTCCCTATTTGTCTTGATCCTGTGAAGACCTGAACATTCTACCAAAAGGATTGTTTAGTATTTTTGCTCCATAGAAATGGATAGGAATTTGAAGAGTCTTCAATAGTTTTCATCCTTTGATTTTGTTCAGGGACAAACAAGTTTCCTTCTAAAGAGTAGGCACATGGAGGATCTTTGAGACTGTACAAAAGCCATGTTTTAACCAATTCTATTATTTTCAAGAGCAAAAATGGCATTTAATTCTTCAATTATGAATTAAATTTGATTAATCAAACTTTTTGATTACATTTCACTCTTCACAGCCATACTCTCAACAGTCTGATTACTGCCAGATTTCTGGTTTCAATAATTCAATTAAATACAACTTTTATGACAACATGGCATAAGCTAAAGGATTTCAAAAGCAACGCATCATTGTCTTATCTACAGAAATTTATGAACAGAAGACAAAGTCGTTGACACCTTTTCACACTGGAAAGTAGTACAATAGTAAAAAAGTAGTAGTAAAAACAAACAAACAAACAAACAAAACCTCAAAAAGCACACTGGGGCATCAAGGATTAAAGGGGCAGGGCAGGATTTACCATTTTCTCAGAATAAAATTGATGTGATGAACTGAAGCATTTCGGTGCTTCAAACAAAAACAGAAGTATGAGGAAAAATATTTTTTAACAACATTTAGAACATAACCCAATGCCATGAAGCTGTGTGTGTACACATATATGTATGCTCCATGGGGCTTTTCATTTAACCGTCTGCCAGTGTGTGCAGTTGCTCCCCTTGATGGAAAATCTTTGTGCAGAAAAATCCAGAGTTCAAGTTCACATTTCACTTTGATGACGCTTTCTCTTTGGTGAAGCCTCGGAGGGGTGATGAGGATGAGGACCAAGGGAATCAAAGGCGCTCAGTGAAAGACTGATAAGCAAGGATGTCTGAAAGATGGAAAAGAGCTAACGAGAGAGATTCAAGAGTTCACCAAAGCTGGGAGTGGATCGGCGTTGATGTTGAAAATGAATGGAGAGGGGCCAGAGGGAGCAAAGAGAGATTAATGAATGAATGTGAAGGGCCAGAGAAAAAAGAATAGTAAAAGGAAGTGGTCTCAGCTTGTCAACCCTGCCTTGAGGGGATCATTCATCACTATCGACAGTGTGTATCCATGTGTGTATTTACCCGGCATGTGTGTATCCAGACTCTTTGCCTCTGGGTATAGGATATTAAAGGATAAAGAGGACAAACATATTTTAGGATTTCTATGGTTCAAAACATAAAAGTGTTCACGGTCATAACTTCTGCAGATGAAAGAAAATGTGTTTGTGGCGTTTGATGGAGCGCCGTCAGTCCCGATAGTCGCTGAGTTTCTGATGGAAAGAATGCCGACAGGAAGAACGGCTGAGGACGCCTTTAATGGCCTTTCCCTTTTTCCAGACATGGATCGAAGAAATCTTTATACAACATAAATAACTCGAGGACAGGGAAAACAGACTCAGTGTAGTCAGTCCTACGTGTTTGTGTTTTTCTCATCTTGCATCGGATACTTGTCTGAACTGGTGAAGGTCGGCATAGCTTATTTAGCAGGGGAATAAATCATAACGAGGCACTCTAAAGAGGTTGTAGCAAAGATGAAAGAGAAGAAATAAAGGGGCTATAATCCTTATAATATCTTTCCCATAATCCCAAGTGTCTAGCATCATGACGCATAACCACAAATATACAAAGGTATTCACACAAAAACAAGCAACTTAAGTAATTATTGTGCTTTTTGTCCCATAGGCGTCTTGATGCCAACCTCCTGAGCAGGGTTCCATCTGAGGCCTTCAAGGGCGTTCGCTCTTTGAGACACCTGTGGTTGGATGACAACTCCCTCACAGAAATACCGGTGATGGCCTTGGACTCCCTGTCCTCTTTGCAGGCAATGACACTGGCCCTCAACCAGATCACCCACATACCCGATTATGCGTTTACCAACCTCTCTGGCCTCGTGGTGCTGTAAGTGACATCTTCATCTGTGCCTTTTTACAGCAGGAATGATAAATATGCCAATGTCTGTTTCGGTGAATGCATATTCAGAGGCCATCTTTGCATGAAATCTACACCAGATTTCAGTAACAACCCCGTTAATCCACACAACTCCATAAATAAAATTATGTGCCATAAAGTGGAATGGAACAGGAAACAAGTACTGAAAACATACTAAAATTGAGTTATCACTTGGGAAAAAATGCTTTTTTTTCCAATGATAAATGTGAGTGGAGGAAATGGAGAAACTACTGCAGATGTAATTTCGACCCATCATTCCACATGAAATGTGTTCTGGATCATAGAGGCCAGTTACCCCAAGCTTCAGTTCTTTAAATTTAAACGAATTCAAGTTAAAGGACTGACCTGGTCATTAAAATAGCTCTATTTTCAATCTATGAAACAAGTTAAAGGTGTCCCTGACTGTTTGGAATAATTTTACTGAAAAATCTACCCCTGTTTCACCTTCATATTCTCATCAAGAATGTCCCCGTTCATTTTAATCTGATCATAAATAATTAAAGTCTTCCACTAGCATTTGCTGAAAAACAACCCCACACCATGATGTTCCCACTTACAAATATTGCTGGCATGTTGTTTTTGGGGTGGTCTGCAGTGTTTCTTGTGCTTCAAACAGGGTGTGTGCAATAACATCCCAGCAGATCAGCTTTGGTTTCATTTGATCAGACTGTATTTTGCCAGTATTTGATATGTCTAAATATTTTGCTGAAAACTTTAAACAAGTTTCAACATGTTTACTTCTGGGGTGGACTCTTGTACATGTCCATAGATGCCATTGTGGTTGAATGCATTACTTACTGTTTCCATGAAAAGACTGTTCTAGTTAATTCCAGGTCTTTTTTTCTAATTACTCGGCAAGAGATTCTTGGCTCTGGCAGAACTGATCCGATTATTCTTTTGAGTCCTCAGTCAAAAATATTGTGTGAAGCGCCTGGAGATGCCTGTTTCATTATGGAATACTATTCTTTCTGCTTCTGGATTACGGTGGCGTTCACAGGAATAATCCAAAACTCTAAAAATGTGTGTGTAACCAACAGCCTTAGTATTTTGTGTATAAAGTTTGCAAATGCAATTATAGGTCCTTGCTTTTACCCATAATGATAAGTGCAATGCTTTGGTAATGAAAACATTTTTATTATGTAGCATGCTGATGTTGTCATGCTACAGCATGAACCCAGTTTGCCTTATTATCCACGCTAAACAGTGAAAGCTAGTTCTAAGAATTTTCCATTTCTTCAAAGCCAAACATCCATTACTGTGTTTACAGTGGTGCTCACTGATCATCTCCATTAAAGCTTTTTATAGTTTATCAATAAGAACTTCAAGTTAATAATACCTAAAAAGAGCTTATTTTATTTTATTTTTTTAAATACAGCTTGTGATCATAACTTGTCTCCAGTTTATTGCACACAACTTACTTTATGGAGCAATTTGTGCTGTTAATTTCTTTGAATGTTTCAGTTACCTTGGTTGATGCATACATCTGGTGTACATTTTAGATCAATCGCCTCATTAGAAATAAACTGAACAAGAAATACTTATTTACTATTCTGCATCTCTCCCGAGTGTTAACAGGCAAACTAATTGGCCATTTTTGTTCCTCTTATAACATGAATCTTTATGGATTTTTCCCAGGCATCTCCACAACAACCACATACAGAGCATGGGTTCGAGATGTTTTGAAGGTTTACAGAGTCTGGAGACACTGTGAGTATCCCCGAATTTAGAATATAATACCTCAGAAAGCGAACGCAATTAAAAGCCATAATTTCTCATACTGTATGAGGTTTCGCCTTGTATTTTACACACATAATTGTGCTGGGTATGATGAAGAAAGCCTTGAGATGTGTTTTTATAAATCATACATAACGTGTGCCAAAATGTTTGAACTGCAGCTCGAAATTATAAAGTCACAATGATTAATGTACCGGTAATTTCAGCAGGTGTTCGAGCAATTCGCAAAACCACAAGCGACAATCGAACAGGAATGCAAAGATGAAAAGATTCACTTTGATTACCTTGAAGCATCGTCAATGGAATCCACTGTGTTATGTTTAGTAATTGCTAGGCAGTAAGGTCAAGAACAGCACAGCGTGGCTCCAGCAGAGTTTTCCTGGAGGACGTGCCGTAGCCTCAATAACCTAATCCTAACCACATGCCAATATGGAGACCACAGAAAACTGACACAGTGAAAGAAAGTGTGAGAAGCCTCCTGCAAAATTCATGGTGGTCTATTGAAAACACAGTTTCTGGCATGCTGCTTTAACAACCTGTTGAAGTGTAAAAAAATTATGCATTATTTCTTTACGAGAATGTGTGTGGCCAAGCAAGCATATGTGCGAATATATTCAAGTACCTTTGCCTGTGCAATCATAAACGTATGGCTCACTTTATACTCATGTTGAAAGCCATAATGCATGTTGGGAAACTCTGCAGAGGATGAAGGGAAACCAGAGAAAGTGAAAAAGAGACAGAGACCTTTTGGACAATAATAGTGTGTGTTAACGTGATTGGGCTATCAGAGGGTGGTAGAGACAGATGGTTCAGCGAAGTAAAATGACAGGTGTCACTGATGTGGAGATTGTGCTGGTATGAGGGGATAATCTCTTGCAGCAGATTTCTTTATGAGATAGTATATTACCACTACCTACATCAAACCTTAGCATGTATATATAAGTCATTAGCATGAGGAGCTGTCCAGTCAACAGCTAGAAAATACAACCGCATATGCAAAACGGACGAAAGAGCAGTTATTTCTCAACCGATTTGGGTGGGTTAATAGCATTTGTGTGTATACAAGTCCAGCACTTAATTTGGTAGAGAATGGGAAACTTTAAAGACATTACATAAGTGTACAGCTGCAATGGCATACAGTACAAGTGTATACATATCCAACTCTACTCATACACACAATCAGGAGCATCGCTAGAGGCAATAAATGTTGCTGTTAGTGGTTCTACTGTGGATCCACATTTGGAGGTGGTCGGTTGAAAAATTAAGATGGTCAATATGACTTAGATGACGCTCATAAGAATTGGGATGTATTATAGATTGGCTAACAAATATACCATTATTGTAATCTCGGTGTGCACAATATTTAAATCCATAACTTTTCCTTTGCTTGGAGTTACTTTTGTCTGAAAATGTGCCTTTCATTTGGATTTGCAAGGAATTATGTCAAAAAGCCAAAGAATATAGCCTTACTTTCTTTAACTCTAACCACAAAGAGTAGGGGAACAAATGAGGTGAGATGGTGCAGTTAAGAGTGAGGTGAGCAGCAAGCCCTTACCATGTAAAACCAGCACCTCTGTGCAAAAGGCAATTTTAAAATGAGATTTCCAGTACGTTCTCATTCTTGCATCATGGTAGGCATTGCATAAAGACCGCAGAAAATCTCAGTGGCTTGTTGAAAAAGCAAAGTGTGTCTCCTTTAAATGGGCCAGGCACTTTGCCAAAAGTGATTGCAATTCAAGTAAAAAAAAAAAAAAACTTTTAAAAGGTTGTCCAACTTTGTTACACAAAAACCACACTAATGAGACTGATTTCATGTGCAAACACATCAACATTAATTTCTCATTCAGTTTGTTTCTGGTGTCATTAACTTGTCTGTTTTTTTTTGGAATGGACTGGCTCCACTGTGCTACAGAGGGAGAATATCATTATGAAATGTTGATGCGATATAGGGGGCAAAATCGGACATAATGACTTTAGATATAATTTAAGCATGACCATTTATTTGACTTGCAGGGATTTAAACTACAATGAGCTACAGGAGTTCCCTATGGCAATCAGGACACTGAGCAAACTTCAGGAACTGTGAGTACGCGTGCACACACACACACACGGAAACACACCTGCCCGGCATGACTATCATGGTTGTGTTATCCCGAGTAATCCCGTTAAGTGATTTTAATGTGGCACTCGGATACAATCTCTCTCGCCCCAAGCAGGTGCTGGCTACACACCCACGCAGCCACTCGCCCTGCACATACACACAGACGCACACGCACAAACCATGTTTTTTCCTCGGCTTCAGCAGATGTTTCGCAGCGCGCATATGTGTCACAGATACAGCGTATGTGTTGTGTGTTTACGTCTCATGTATCCAAAAATGTTCTTCAGCTGTGCAACGGCAGGTGCAACGCGAGGGCCACATGACTCACACTCTCACTCACAAAACTCGATGTCGCGCCTGCAAACGGCCCCGAAATGCAAAACATATTGATTGGGAGAATAACTAACAGGATGTTTTTGCATGTTCAGGGGCTTCCATAACAACAACATCAAAGCCATCCCTGAGAGGGCCTTTGTGGGAAACCCTCAGCTCCAAACCATGTGAGTTTCAAGCGTAATCACAATGCTACAACTTGAACATATCAAATAAACACAACTGGAATTGCATGTCAACATCACTTAGAACGCGGCTCATTCAAAGCAGATTATACAGCATGTGTCCACATACAGTTGAAACCAGAGATTTACATACAATGAATTTATACAAAGAATTTAAAAAGGAACAACATCTTCCCTTCTCAGTGTCTGAGATTAAATTGGATTAAATAGTTCCTGATTTAGCTCACTTTGGATTACCAAGGGGATTTTCCTTTTTTCTAAATGGGACAATAATGAGAAATAGATTTCTTTAGAACCCGAGCAGTATTAAGTTCATGTGTTTAAATCATCATTCTCCAGTACAAACACCATGGGAATGTTCAATTATCATACTCCTTAGGAGGAGACAAACATGAACTCTATTCATGTTTGTCTCTTCTATTTTGTCCCAGACATGAATAGAGTTCTCTGTAAAATGTATAAGTCAAACACAAACAGAAGATATTTTAGAGATGCTGGTTAAAGTTGGAAGGAAAGCATCATTAAATACAGTTAATAAAACGACTCCCCTACTTGCATGGGCTGAAACACAAAAAGGCATATTACATTTTGCAAATGTTCTCTGGTTATGAATTTACATTGGGCAGAATTGTCCTGTGGTTTGACAGAACTAATATCAAAGTGTTCGGCCGTAATGACTATTGTTGCAACTATAGGAAAAAGAGGGAAGCCAAAAAGCCTGACACCAGCATTTCATCTGTGAAGTATGGCAGTGATAGAATCATTTTGCGAAGATGTTTGACTGCAGAAAGGGTTTCTGCATGAGAAAAGAATTCTGTGTGCAAAGATTGAAGCAACATCTCAATAAATCAGTCAGGATGTCAAAGTCTAAATTAACTTAAAAGGACAAACGGATTCTCTTTGTGCTTTTAAACAATGACCCTAAATGTACAGTCAAACAAGCTATAAGCAAAACAGAAATTATTTTGGTCAACCACACTGACATAAAGCAGAAATTAAATTTAACATTGTGCAAAGAGAAAAAAAAAGGTTACTTGTGTGTGTGTTTTTTATATATATATTTAAATATCTGGTCCCGACTGTATTTTTTGCTCTTTTTCCTGCAGTCACTTTTATGAGAATCCAATCCAGTTTGTGGGGAAATCTGCTTTCCAATTCTTACCAAAGCTGCACACACTGTAAGTATGTGGTCAATAAAAGCCATTCCAGTGAGTTAGCGCAAACACTGTTTAAATCATCCTTTAGCCATTCCAGCCAGAGCTCAGCGGACAAGTGTAATGGCCTACTGAATGATGTTGTGTTAGTGTATTGCTGTGCTGTGTGCTGATGTGGTAAGAGAGAGTGTGCTGTAAGAACATGTTGAATAGTGTGACTTATGATGTCTGGTGAGAGGGCCAAAACAGCCCGTGTTGATGTTGGAGGAATAGCTTGATGGCTGCAATGAGCTGTTAGACAGGTTCTGCGTTTGTGCTTGTGTGTGTGAGTATAAGAGGAGAAGAGAGGGGGGGGAAAGCAGTTGTTTAGGTTTTTGTTCTTTTTCTTTTTGCTTGGCATCAGTTCCTTGAACGGGGCAACCCAAATTCAAGAGTTTCCGGATTTGAAAGGAACAACCAGCCTTGAGATTTTGTGAGTATCACACACGCAAAGTAATATTGAAGAAATTATAGGATGCTCTAAGACACAAGGATTGCGTATTTGTCAAACCAAGACAATTGCCCGTCCCCCTAAGTTAGACTGATGAGATTCTGGGATCATTTCATTTACTTGCTCTCCAACAATGCATTTTTTTTTTCTCCATAGGACATTGACTCGGGCTGGTCTCTCAGCTCTTCCCCTGGACCTATGCGAGCAGCTGCCTCATCTCAGAGTGCTGTGAGTGCACGCATATAGACATGCACACACACGAACAGGGTGAATAAAACTGAAAAAAAAAATGAGAGAAAAAAACAAATCAAGAAAGCCGTGTCCTAAAGCTATCCCTCGAATTCACCTCATAAAATAGCAAAAAATAAATACATGTGTAAAAAAAACAAATATGTATTGCTCTGCAGTATGCCCCTGCTCACAGAACTGACACCCGAGTTTTCCTGTCAGCCCATAAATTCCCACACTATAAATTCACAGCTGGTCATGGGTTTCTCAATGTCTAAAATTGCACTTTAAAAAAAACATTATTTCTCTGTGCTGTTGTAGAGAGCTGTCCTACAACCAGATAGAAGATCTTCCCAGTTTTTACCACTGCTCTGCACTTCAAGAGATGTGAGTAATTTTCCCTTTCTAAATTACTGTTTACATGCAGGGATGGGCCGGATACCGGGAACAAGGTGGTTGTGCATTTTGAACAATTACATTTTTAAAACTACTAAAGTTTCAAAGAGCTCAAAGTATACCCAATAAGTTGCCAGAGAAGCTGAAGTTGTTTCCACGTGTTTGAAGCATAAAATGAAGCAGCGCTGCCCCTCCCCCATCTATTACTGAACACTGCTAGTCAGTTGGCTCAGAAACGATCATTACACTTTTCCCTCAAAAAAAAAAGAAAAAGCTGTTTGTAAATTATTTCCTTGAAAATGCAGTCTCATATAGGCAACTAAAGAAAAGCCAACTCAAAACATTAAAAAGTTTTGAATTCCATAAACACTAGGCATGTTTTTTTGTAATCTACTAAATTGTAGGTTTTGTATTCATTTAAACATGATTATATCTTAACTAATCAATATTATAGGTTGTCTTTGCAGCAGTTTTCCTTTTCTCTTTTAAACAGTTCCAACTTGTTACAAATGTTTATTTTCACAATGTGTGTACAATTACCCATATATGCCATCCTATGGACCCATATGTCAGAATTTTTTATTCGACTTGTGTACATTTTATTTACGTCACTGCATGACAGCATCTGTATCTTTGTGTACAACAGTGGACTGCAGCATAATCAAGTCCGAAGAATAGAGTCAAACACCTTCCAGCAGCTCACCTCTCTCAGAGCACTGTGAGTTGTTCCTTGATCTGTTTTTCTTTTCTCTCTTTGTCTTACATTAGTTCTGTTGAAATCTGTTGTCCACATTAGAGTGGGTCAGCATTGACATGATGTGAAAATGTTTTATGGTCAGAAGATCTAGTTCATATATTTGAATTTAAGCAGTAACTCCAAATTACCCCAAATTGTTTCAGAGTAATTGTGGATGTTTGAAGGCAGTTAGTGTATAGTGTATTTAATTGTGCCATTTGGTGAATGTGGCTTTTAATGTGAAGTACTTTGACAGGCCAGTAATATTTGAAAAGTGATAGATAAATGAAGTCCAGTTGTGAATACAATATTCTGTGACTTACAACATGCCAGTGAAAACAGCAAATGATACATGTATAGGAGCTTTCCATAGCTGTTTCAGAAATACCAAATGGGGTTACCGCTTTAAAATATTAAACGTATGAAACAAAACATGAAAGAAATAACTTTCTTAATCAATTTAAAAGGTAAAACCTTGACTAGTGAAAGATGAAAAAGCATTGGCCAAGTCAAAGTGTTTATATTTCCTAATACTAACACTTATAGGATCAGACAACAAAGTTCCTAAACAGTTTTCATATTCAAATGTCATACTTTGTAATACTGTGTAGGAAGCCTGAATGATTGTAACTGTAACTCCAATAAGAGCATTGAGTTCACTTTATTGTTTTTCTCTCACAGTGATCTAAGCTGGAACATGATTGAGTGGGTCCACCCAGATGCCTTCACTTCACTTCATTCTTTGATCAAACTGTGAGCAAAAAACAGATACACATCTCTCACTTAGCCTGTCATACCGTTTATCTGATTCTTTAGCAGTCCCTGTCCCACTGAAAGTGGGTGACAAGGTTGTGTATCAGAATATATCAGTATGTCAGAAATGTGGGCATAATCACTGCGGGTTAACACAACATTTTAAGCCTTGACACATTTGTGGCCAACAAATCTCATTTCAAATCATGCCAACTTAAAACTGCATACTTTGAGTGAAGATTGAAGTTTGTTAATCTAATCTGATAGTAGATACAATCCAGAGATGATCTGATAGCATGTCTGAACAGGTTGAAGTATCAAAGAGACAACATTTTTACTCTAAAGACTTCACATGCATAACATTTGACTTCTTTTAATTTTCTTTATTTCTCAGGGACCTGACTGAGAACCGCCTCAGCTCTGTACCAGTTGCAGGTTTAGGAGGCCTCACTCATCTCAAACTGAGGGGGAACAAAGACTTATATGAAGCCTTCAGTCCTGATCACTTTCCACAAATGAGGTAACGTACAAAAATATCACCTATCAGAACATGGCCTATGCTAAAAAATGTCTTTGCTTAACAAAGCCGGTTCCAAAATTCAGGTGGACGTGCTGTACTCAACCAACAAAATACAAAGTACTGCTGCAAAGCATTTCTGAATTCAACTTAGACAATAAAAATACATCTGAATTACAAAGTTAACTCTTTATGCTATTTTTTTTATATGTCTGAGTGGCACTCAAAAGCCATAATGTTAAGGGTCAAAACAAAAGCATTATGGTTTGAACCACAAAGGTCGTACTTTGCCTAAATACCGCCTGCCATGGAATCTTCTTTGTTGTGATGATTAATATTGTTTCCATTTGCAACAGGGTGATAGAGATGCCTTATGCCTACCAGTGCTGTGTGTATGCATCCTGTAACAAGCCCACCACCCACTGGGACACAGAGCTGAGCAACACAAATGAAGATCTTCACAAGAGGACGGTGGCCATGTACCCAGTCCATGTAGACACTAACTGTAAGACTACAATCCACACTCAACCACATTGAGTTTAATTGCTTAACAAAAATGACAAACCTTGGTTATTAACTACAATAATATAAATTAAAATTATATTAGAGTACACAATCTGTCACTATGACAAAGAGCTGTTGAACCTGCACCTTAAATGATAAAAAAATAGACACTGACAATTGAATTTTATGAGTACCTGTTCCCTCACTGAAAAATAACAGCAATACAAACAATAGGGCACTTAATATCCACACACGATGCAAAGAATTTTGATCATATAAACAATGCTATCTTCTAGATGACCCTGATCTGGAGGAGTTTCAGTTGGAAATAGAAGAATCCAAGTTACAGACCAGTGTCCAATGCACCCCCATACCTGGTCGGTGAAGTCACAGATTTGATATGACAAAGCTTCAAATTTGCTGTGACAAGTATTGACAGCAGTTTTGTGTCCATTATGTTGCAGGTCCGTTCCGTCCCTGTGACTCCCTCCTGGGCAGCTGGCTTGTCCGCATTGGCTTGTGGTCCATCTCCCTGGTGTCTTTGCTGGGAAACGCCATTCTGTTCCTGTCTCTCTTTGGATCACCAGGCAGCCTGTCGCCACTACGCTTCATTGTGGCCTGTATGGGTGCCTCTAACCTGCTGATGGGTGTGTGTACATGCACACTGGTCCTAGTGGATGCTCTGACCCTTGGAGAATTCAATGAACATGGAGCCCGCTGGGAGGGTGGACCTGGTTGTCAAGCGACGGGATGGGTTTGGGTGTTTGCGTCTGAGGCGAGCGTGCTGCTGCTGACTCTGGCAGCAGTGCAGTGTGGTGCAAGCGTGACATGTGCCCGCGCCTATGGGAAGTCACCATCCCTTAGCAGTGTGCGCACATGTGCGTATTTCTGTCTCACCCTCTGCCTCGCAATTGCTTCACTCCCGCTAGTTGGAGTGGGGGAGTATGGCTCTTCACCTTTCTGCCTTCCGTCACCCCTGCCTACCCCATCTTCGCGCTTACCATCCTCCCTGGGCTTCCCCTTGGCACTCATAATGATGAACACCATTTGCTTGCTTATTGTCACAGGTTCTTATATCCGCCTGTATTGGGAGCTACTTCGTGGGGAGTGTGAGGGGTTGTGGGACTGTGCCATGATCAAACATGTTGCCTGGCTTATTTTTACTAATGGCCTTCTCTACATACCGGTAGCTTTCCTATCACTTTGTTCTCTTCTGGGTCTTCTTTCTTTGGGGGAAGAGGTTCTAAAATCAGTCCTCCTTCTGTTACAACCCCTGCCCGCTTGCCTCAACCCTCTACTCTTTCTTCTTTTCACAAGAGATCACTCTCAGTTGTTCTCCTGGTCTCGCCCCAAAACTCGCCCACAGCTGCGCCGCGACCGCACCTTGGACTCGCTAGTTTCTGTGGAGACAGAAAAGAGCTCCTGCTCGGATTCTTCAACACAGGTGTCACTGAATGATGCCGAAGCCACGTACAGGGAAGGGTCTTCTCCCCAGCCTGGACGAGAATCAACCAGGTTTTCTCAATGCTCCTCTACATCCTCCGTTCACCTCATCCCTTGCCAAGTACCAACCGTGACAGCCAAAGGGAGGGAGAGGGTGACAGAATGAGGAGGCATGGGGAGTTTGGATCAAGATGCAAATCTTGCCATTTTTCCTTCTGTGCTGTGCGACAATGAATCACCTTATGTAAATGAGCCCCTGAAACAGATGTTTAAAAGTATAGGGGATAAAATTGGAAGATTCAAGGACCGCAGCATTTCTGGGCTACCTATCTATAAACTCTTGAGAATGAGTCAACAAATGACGTTGACTAATAAAGAGAAGTTGACACGTGAACAGTCTTTCTGACCAGAGAGCAGGATGGAAAGTTTCTTCTTTTGCCAGTACTGTTGAACTAAAGGACAATTCTGGAGACTATCCGGCGGACTGAGTCAAACAAGGAGCTGTATAAACAATGCAATGCAAAAGAAAGCTGTTAATCACATTGAGAATCAAAGCTAGACAAATCAATGGTCTACTCTGAGGGGATAAATGTTTATACTGAAATGTGATGAGAAATGCAGCTCAGAAGTTGCATATTGTTTAATAGCATTTAAGTGGAGTTTTGTTTTTAAATACAATTTTATAATAGCATTAAGCTGTTTTGTTCCAAAAAAGGGGTATTGTCAATAATGCTAGCAAATTTCTCAAGTGTAAGCTAATGTGTTTTGTCCAGAGCAATTTTTATAGCCACATATAAAACTTTACAGCTGTGTAGTAGAGCATTTTTAATGAAATATTCTTTAAGTAGAAAATAATGCGAAAATGATCTGGGTTGCACATGTATTTTTATATGGTTTACATAATTATGCTCAAAAACATGCAACTTTGTCAAACAAGAGTTAAGCAGTCTTATGGTTTGAATGGGACGTAGCTGTATTTCTGCCAACCTTAGTGTAGGAAAGTGACCTTTATACACATACAATGTAACTACCTCTGAACTATGGTATTGACTCACTACAGCCTTATTGATGTTTGTCTCCTTTTTATAAACAGCAAATATATAATTTTATACATTGAGAAATAAAAATTTTAGTTTGTACAAAATAAAAACTTGTACCACTTAGGTTGTACATATTTTGTCTTTTAAACATATGATAGAATAAAATTATGATCAACATGTTGTGTAAACTTGAACCTCTCTGCTTATGCTACAAAACACACCCAAATAATACACAATGTCCAGAATGTGTATACCAGAGATCCTCAAAGTTTTATTGCACATAGAATCACACAGTTAACTTAGAAAGATGCATTCATGAAATGTATCTATTCAACATATAAGCAACACATTAGAACAATAAAAACAAAAAAAAAGAAAGGATGTGTATGCTATGCTAACCAAGATCAGATAGCTCCAACAAATGAATGAAGAAAAACTACACGCGAGGTCTCTTCAGCGGTTCTTCTGCCTCCTGCTGGGGACAGAGTCCATCCCGTTTCCGAGATGCTAATTTCTGATCCGGAGCATTTTCTTTGTCGTCTTCCACAACTCCCTGATCAAGGACACATAAAAACTATTTCATCTTTTCAAAAAAAATTCTACAAGTTTATGATATTCTGTAAACTATAAATTCAGAATAAAATTAATACAAATTACAACAAACTCAAGATTTTAAACTGGTGCTTGAAGATGGAACACAGTAAAAGTAAACATATAAACTGCAGTCTGTTGCCAACAATAGTCTAAGCAACACAGTTTTTCCAGGTTATTCAGATGCATTGGTACATTAGTTGAGCCCACAGAGCTATTGGTAAAATCGCTTTGTGGGCAATTTTACCAATAAATCGACCTCAAAGCGATTTGTGGGCGAAAGGAGCGATGGAAAAGATGCTGCAAGCTAATTATATCCTAAAGATCTCAAATATGGGTTCAAAAGTTAATTCTAATTTCAGTAAATCCATTCACTATGTGCAAGATTGAGGTGATATTGCTGAGGGAATAACTTGCTTTGACACAACCAGCTCCTCACTAAAATTAATCTAACTTTTTCTAACAAGAGCATATGGAACAGACAGAAAACAAGTAAAACTACAGACACCCAGATGAAACTTTTTTGAATAATCTACAAAAAGACTCACAACATGTCAATAAATATAAAATCCTATAAATAAATCTGTTGTATTTTGTTGTGCTTGAACAGCAAAACCTTTTAATGAAATCCTGGAGATTATGTTCAATCAAGAATCCACAGCACAGCCTTGTGGTTCAGATGAACTACTACACAATTGGTACTGGCAGGAACGAAAATAAAGTTTTGTGGAACTAAAAACATCCTATTCATGCACAGATCACTCAACAGAAGTAAAAGAAAATTAGATAATATGTCTTACTTTGTTTGTCTGAATTGCATGTTCCTGTGTCCACTTCTTGGCCTTCTCTGTGAAGAGGTATTTGTTGTACTTGAACTCTGATGACTGGAATTTAAAGCACATAAATAAACATTCAATGAATAAGAATCAAAAGACTTTCAATTTAGAGCAGTGGCGATATCCAAAAAGATAGTTTTAAGTCCCTTCAAACCCTTAATGACGCAGCTCAAACACATAGTGATATGTATGGCTAAAGGAAAACAAAAATAAAAATGCATGCGACTCACTATGTCAGCCATTAGTGGGTCATCTGGATTGGGCTCAACCATGAGAAGTTGGATTGAGGTGAGGACTGTGGAGATATTTAGAGAAGGTTTCCAGGCACCCTGAATAAAAACAAACACAAAAAAAAAAAAAAAAAAACAGCAGATTATTGCATCTGATCTGAGAATAGAAGCTGAAATAGTTGACAGCAAATATAATTTACAACACTATACGTTTCACAACCTTTGGTGGGAGTTTAAGAGCATCATGGCAGATTCGTCCTGAGTTGTCAATGTTTGGGTGGTAGATTGGGGTCAAGAAGCGCATGTTTGGAGGTTCAAATGGATACCTAAAGCACACAAACAGCAGACCTGTTGTATTTAAATGGTTGCATCGGTTTCATGAATGTTCAAAACGACAGAAAAGTACCTTTCTGGGATCTTCACCTCCAGGGAGAAGATTCCACCTTCATAAGGAGTTCCTACACCACCAACGATCTCTGCAAGGTAAGATGACACTAATTAATTACCAAGATAGAGCTGAATTGAAAGACGAAGACACATCAGTTAATTAAATAAAAAAAATATAATTCAGTGATTCTTGAGAAGAGGGACAAAGCAGGTCGTATGGATAAAGCGCAAACTTTGAATAAAATATGAATAAAATATACACAAAATATAATTTTTTCAAATACCTGATGAAACTAACCTGGGCCATGTGAGCACAACAATGTATGTTTTCCTGGTGTTTGCTGAATATTTTTTATTTTAAACATTGTAGTAGGTGGATGGTGTCTTTACAGTTTATTGAGCAGAACACAATACATTCTAAAAGTTTAAAACAGTTAATATACTTAATATAATTGAATACTAATTAAATGTAAGTATTCAAATAAATAACTGAAATTATTAATAAATTGAATTAAAAATCATTTTTAAATATTTCCCAACTGCATTGAAATTTGACCCAGGTTTTGTCAACAGCATCAGACATATAAAGAATGTAAGAAAATCTGGCATTATTGGGGGGCATCAGAACTTCTAAGGAAATAAATAAATGAAATAAAAGTTTAATTTTAGTGTACTTTATAGACTTCATGGACCTGATGAGCTACAATATGGCCTCCTTCAGAATAACCTCATATAAACTAAGGTAGATTGGCATTTTGTCAACTCTGTCAGTTTTTAACTGACAGTGACTCTCAATGATAGTGTTGACAAATCTTAACTGCGCACTTAAAGTATTTTACATAAAAAGTAATGACATTTATGATTTACAGTGCTTTTACTAGTGCCTGTCATTTTTTGTTGACTTGAAGCAGTTTTTTTGTTTAGATTCATTTTTTTTTTTGTCAGATGGCGATGACAAAGTTCTAGGTCTTTGTCATCGCCAAAAAAAATTTACAACTGGGACCCTGCGCCTTAGCATCTCTACATTTCCAAAATATTATTTGTCATATTTGTATACGTAGGCTTGAGGAATAATTTTTAAAAATCACCGAACAGGTTTAAGTAATATGGATCAAAATTTAGACCACACAGTGAAACTCAAACATCTATCTAATCCATATTTTTACTTTGTCATACCTCATACTTTACATGAGGTATGTTCATCCTCATGTAAAGTAATAGTGTCCATCATATCTGATCTGTCATCCTGACTATTGCTCCATTGTAGAAACATCTCTTACTGCTTGAGGCCCAGTGACATCTCTTACTGCTTGAGGCCCAGTGACAGGAAGCTTACGTGCTCGGAGGTCATCAATCCGCTCCTCGGTCTGCCAGCATGTTATCCCAGGAGGCGGCTCGGTGCTCAACATCTCAAGTTCACGCTTCAAACGGGAAGCTCTCTGCATTCTTTGAGTGGAGAAAAAAAAAAGTAAACTCAAAGCTATTTTCTCACACGTTGATAAATGACGTCATATAAACATGAGGGCGCCGCGTACAAAATGAAAATTGAACCCGACTCCTCCTCAAAGCAATATAAAAAATAGTGAAATTAGATCCTCTCATTTGGATAAGCAACCGACTATGAGACTATTGCAGGACCATTTTAAAATTAATTTCAGCGCCGAACTAAACGTCATCTTCAGCGTCGTGGTCGCGCGTGTATTTATAAGATAATTGGCCGTCTGGTCTGTATTTCTCTCGGCCGTTAACCGACAATAAACAAGCTAACGGCTCAAGTCAAGGTGCTCCACGTCACCTCATTTCTTTACGTTTTCTTACCCGTCACACGCGTTGTGCTCACTGAAGAATGAAGAAGTCGTACACTCGAAGAGGAAAAAGAGCTCAGACGGGACACTTTTTGGATTTCCCTCGTCAGCGTCGCACTTTTCTTCTCGCGCTGATCTCGTTGAGGTTGAGAAGGTGAACAGCGCCATCAACTGTTAGGGAGGCGCGACAACGGAGTCCCCCTCAAAAAAACGGACGTGCACTATACTCATATCAGTCGAAGTAAATGGGGAATACAAAAAGATATTTTAGTATACCGTATTTGAAATTTATTCATTGAGTATCAACAAATGGATGTTCATTCACCTAAATCTCTCACAAATATTCAATTAAATTCTTGTCATGCTTTTTTGAAAGAGCATTTTCAAACTGTTTTTTAAAATTGTCAATCCATTTAATGCTTATCTTAGTTTGATAAACACACATTGCATCATAACACAAATGTATTTGGCCAATAATGACATTACTTTTCAATCAGACATAAAAAAGGGAAATTATGTATTTCCTAAATAATTTGTTGTTTACATTTCGTTTTCATTTTAATTTTGTGTTAATTCAATCACACTGTAAGTTGTCAATTCTTTTCTTTAATTAGTCTCTCTCTTCAGTGTGTTATCTGTTTTACTATATTTTCATTTACCTTTTTGATCAACCCATTAAACTAAGCAAATCTAACTAATCTATCTAATCAATTAGCTGCTATGCTTGTTTTTTTGTTTGTTTGTTTGTTTGTTTTTTTATGGTGACATTCTCATTTACCTGTGCTTTGTTACTCCTTTGTACAAGAACCAAGCTGGAAGTGTAGTACTTCTTCCAATTCTCTTCATTTTTCAATTTTCCTTCAAATTCTACAGAATGAGTCTTTTTTTTCACATTTTCAATTGCTTTTTCCTTGTCAATAGGTCTAAGTTCAAACATTCAATATGGGAAAAAAAGCATTGATAAAATAATTTATTTGGACTCTGAACGTCTTTTTTTTTCCAAGCAGTACATAACACAATTATTTTCTCACAAAATTATTTCAGAAAATGTTTATCTCTTATTCTTTGAGTTACAAATGTGATTTCTTGACTGACTCATTTGTTTTGCAAATATCTGCAATAATTATCAACTACGTTTGAAATAGTCTCTATTGGCAAGAAACACAGTCATTAAAGAAAACAAATCCAGAGGAGAATATTTCTGTTGCCAAAACTGCTTAATCTTCTTGAGTTTTCATCATATAAGCGGGTGAAGATTGCAGCCTGATCAGAAATTTGCGTCTCAGTGCCCGGTCATAGTTTATCCATTTGAATGGCACACAATGAAAACCTTGTATCTTAATCCTGAGTGCAGCAGTCACGGAAGCAGAGTGAACTAAACACTGTCTCACTTTAATGCCGTGGCGTAAATAGCCTGAAAGGTTATGTTTCCGTGTTGCGTGTCTTCCATCCTGATGTCAGCGAAGCCAGAGTCTCTCAAAGCTGCCATGTAGGCCTCAGGGCGCCAGTTCTCCCCTGGCATCACTCGCTTCGCTGCTAAAACAGCTATATGGGAATGCCTCAGTGTTGTGACAATAAGTCCACCTAGGGTCAAAATGTATAAAAAAATAAAAATAAAAAAAAGTTCAAATTTGACCTTTTTTTATATGCCTCAAGAACGTAGTGTATCTTACCTGGTTTCATTACACGGCGGATTTCTAAGGCTGCTTTCCTGAGGTCGGGCCAAAAGTAGTAGCAGTTGCAGTGAAAAACTTTATCTACACTGTCATCCTTCAGAGGCATTGCTGAGACATCACAGTGATGGAGGCTCACTTTGCCACTTTCTAAAAATTCCTTCACTCGTTCTGTGGCCATCTGTCATGGCAGAAAATAAAACAAGTTGAAGTTTCAAAAGGCAAATATGACCACTCTTTCCACATGTCTAAGATCTAGTTTGCCATTAGTATTAAATGCAGGGGTTAATGTTTTTCTCACTTTCTTAATTAAAATTAGGAAGAAACACAGATCTATTTAATACTACGAAAACATCTCACCTGATGCATGTAGTCAGAGTAATCCACTCCTATCATGTGACCTGTAGGGGCAGTGAGTAGCTTGGCTGCTAACTCCAGACCCAGACCTGGGCCATGACCAAGCTCCAGCACCGTGTCCCCTGGTTGGATCCCACACAGCTGAACAGCACACTCCTCAAGAACCTTGTTGCGTGTTTTGAACATCTTACTGACCAACCATCCCCCCACAGATCGAGTTGGCCTGCCCAACTGGCTCCCCAATTTTGTGGCCCACATGCCTGGGGAAATTAGACTCCAGAGATTACGCTTACACACTCTTTGTGGGATTTTGGCAAATGACTTCTATTGACAACACATACATTTGCAACAATCATAAAACAATTTGAATGATTTAAACCCAAAAAGTTTTAATGCAGTTTTTATTTTCAGGTAAAAATATTATTCAGCATTATTGAATAGTCCTTCATAATGCTGAAATATTATCAGACAACACTTTTTTCTTTTAAAGGATAATCAAAGAAATAATGAAAAATATAAAAGTGCATATAATTTAACTATATAAATTCACAATCGCTGCAATTCATTGAAAATCACGACACATTTTCCTCTCTAGTTCACTTCTAAGATGCAATTTATGTTCCTTTATCAAATGTTGTTCCTCTATGCAAACACCTCTTTGTGGGTTTTTGGTTGTACACAAATACCTTAAAATACCTGCAGGAAGATTTGTGTGAGAAAAAATCTGTGCTGGAGCTCAAGAAAAACTTAGGCTCCAGCACCTTGTGCCGCTATTTCAGTAATATGATACAACATAAAAATTCTATTAAATGTTCAAAATTAGCTAAAACAATATTAGGCACTTTATCACATAAAGTATTATAATTGTGTATTCATGAACCTGTTACGTTAGTTGCATTAAGTAAATGTGTTTTGTAATATATGTGTTTTTTCTGATGTGGGCCCCACTTTATTCACAACAACAGCTAATGGGGATCCTAATAAACAGACAAAATGCACAGCCTTTTTGCAGAATTTTGTTTTTTAACTCTTTCTTCAGTAATCTGTCATGTCTACTTCTTACTTTTACTGGAGTGAAAAAAAAAGTGCCATGGTGAAATAAATCAGCTGAACTCAGTTTTCGGGTTATCTACTACATTTGTTTACTTCTATCTGAAAAGAGAACTTTGGACCACTGATCAGCCCAGGGTTTTTTTTTCTCCTTCGTCCAGGTTAAATGCTTCTTGTTTTCTTACTTTCGATTAAAAAAAAAAAAAAAAAAAAAAAAACAGAATAACTTAGCTGGAAGAATGATCCTAAAAAAGACTAGATTTTCTGAGTTTTTTTTTTCCTCTCCCACTTTAAAGGTATTTTGTCTTGAGCGGCGTTCCGTAGGGAGTCCCTTCCAGCTTTTATTTGATTTTTTTTTCCCTCAACCCACTGCAAGTAACATCAACATGGCGGCTGTCGTTTAAGGCTATGTTTAATCCAGCCCGTCTCTAAATATCACTTACTTTCTCTTGCAGAGAAACTCTCTCCAGCTCCAGCGTCTGAGCTCTTCCTGCATTCAGAAGAGGAGGAGCGAAAGCACGAGCTCCTCCTATTCGTGTTCGGTGGACGCACGCGCCGTCTCCTCCACAGCCACCCTCGTCTCTCTGTTTGTGTCGTTCATTTTACCAGGAAGTTCCCTGCGATGAAATCGTTTGAGAAATGGCCTCGGGGCACAGAGACAGTTTACAAAATCAAACGGTTGAAAGGTTACATAAAGTCACAAGTTTTCTTCCACTGAAGTTATTTTTTTTTATTATTATTTAATACGCAAAAGTACGAGGGTGGTAGGAGTGGAAAACCCCTTTACGTGTAATATCTAAAAATATATTTTTCCATAAGCGCCCTGTGGAGCTGCTGACAGGTTTTTTTGTTTTGGAAAGGTGCGCGATGCCTTCCACCAATCAGCTTGTTTTGCACACACCCCCTACGGGGGATTAGGTTTCTTTCGTTTTCATTTCCCGGAAGGGTCGAATGTGAAAATAGTAGCAGTTTGTTTTATTTGATCGTTGACAACATAGTTGTTTTCTTTAAAAAAGAAAAAAAAATGGAGTTTGGAAAGGTGTGACGTAATTTTTTTTGGAGTTACTCGAGGAGTCGGCTTAGGAAAAAAAAATAGCCCTGTTCTTCTGGTGCACAGTGAAAGATAAGGGACGTTTACATGGCGAGCGTTTCCCCGTCACCTTTGATCAAGGTAAGTAAAACTTCCGACAGTCTAGGTTATTCTCCTAAACTTCAATCAGCTTTAGTGTTTTATTTGAACAGAACCCAGTTTATGTTTTATTATTAAACGTTTTTGTTTTTTTTCTGCACCGCTCTTTTGTGTTTTCCCAATGTATCGTGTGTGTTCTCAGCAAGAAACCAATCTTTCAGCCATAATGCATGGGAGGGAGGTCAACCCTCCTCCAGCTGCACATCACCCTCCCTCAAATCAACCTCCTGTGGTCAGTCCTCACACTCAGGAGGATCTGTGGCATCTACCTGGAAGACTGAGTGAGATCTGTTTTTGACCATCTCAAATGAAATGAATGCATGTATTCACTTCTGCCCATGAACAGTTTCGCTCCAGCTGTTAAAGTCAGTGTTTTCTTGTTAGGAATAAATCCATCTCTGTGGGATAAGGAGGATGTTGCCCACTGGCTCCACTGGGCTCAGAAGGAGTACTCGTTACGCCGACCAGAAAAGGGACATTTTGAGATGAATGGCAGGGCCCTTTGCCTGCTGACAAAAGAAGACTTTAGACGCCGCTGTCCGAGCTCAGGTACAATTTAATCTCTTTTTTTTCCATTAAATGTGAAAACGTATACATTTCTTTTAATAATCTGTGGTGGTTTTCCTCAAGGTGACGTTCTTTATGAGATCCTTCAATGTGTAAAGCAACAAAGGAGGAGTGTTGTTTGCCAGTCCCCTAATGTTTCTGCTCCAGCGGCGAGTGGACACATTCAGGCTCCGGTCAGCAGCCAGATACCTACTCATTCTGTTCAAGAGCCACAGTCTCCAATAGCCAGTGGGAGCCCAGGTCAGAACATGGACTCTTTTTGTTTGAGCCACACTAGCAGTGTCATTTGATCTTTTTTTTTTTTTACCAAGTGTATTACACTTAGTAAGCAACATTTAGTAACATTTGCAAATCAAAACAGGCGTAGTGACTTGTAAAATTTCGTACCCCTCTTTAGACTTTTTCACAATTTTTTTACGCTGCAAGCACAAACTTTAGTGCATTTCATCAGGGCTTTATGTGATGGACCAACACAACGTGGTGCAGCATTTTCAAACTCAAATAGTTACATATCCAAAACACTGTGTGTTGTCATTAAGAGAACTAATGCTAACACACCATCTTTACTTTGAGACATGGAGGTAGCACAATAATGCCGGGCGCTTCTTTTTGGCAGGAACGCAGAAGTTGATTTGAGCTGATGCAAACATGTATGCAGACAAACACAGAACTTGTGAGGACAAATCCTATTAAAGGTTGCAAAAAAAAAAGAGTAGGGTGGTGACATTCAGTAAGGACAACAACCCTAAACATAAAGCAAGAGATCCAAGGTAATGGGTTTTAATGACCAAGCAAAAGCTCAGGCATACGCTCAACTGCCTAGATTAGTGTTTCATCCAATATTAGTTGGAACTATTTTGTAAAGAAGAATGGACAAGAATTTCAGCTGGATGTGCAAAGCTGGGAGAGACATAATATTCACTAAAAAAAAAGAGTTGAAATGCCATGTTTCACCTTTCTTTTCCTCCAAACATGTGCACTGTTTTGCATAAGTTTGCAAGCCAGTAAAATCCTCTTTTGGTTTATAGCATGGTGAAATTTGAAAAGGCTTGATACTTATGAAAAGTTTTCCAAAGCACTGCAAAGCTAAATTTGTTCTTATCAGGAGTAATTTGTTCAGCTTGGAATTTCTTCAGTTGCATTTTGGCAAGCGCAAACAAGAAAAACTAAATCCAAATTACAGCGTATTAAAAAAAGTGTCTTAAGGAGCATTAGCATGGCATTTTCCAAACAATAATTTTAGAATTAAGGCGATCCAGCTGTATGATCGTACCATACTAAAGTGAGATCAAAATCCGGAAAAGAAACTTAGTAGAAAATTATGCAACATGCATTTAAAAAAAGAATGCTTTGAAGCATTTGCAGAAAGTTGTGAAACCAAGTGTATATTATTCTAGAAAGAAAAACAGCACAGAGAAACAAGTACTACAAATTCAGGGTGCTCAAATTCAATATTTGTGTTTTGGTTTGGTGCATATCAAATCTCTCTTGTTTATTCTAGAGAGTGTGTTGGCTAAAAGACTTTCTGATCAACATGTCTCAACACACTGAGGCTACGTTCATGCTCTTTCTTGCCGCATTTGGGAAGAGTCAAATCAAATTACCTTATCTCTGCAACTTCCCCAGCCCTGACCATCACGAGTATCAAGAACCCTTTTTGACTTTCATTTGTTGCGCTGTCTTTCAGCAAGTTATTGACGCAGGTGTGGCCTCCAAATAATGTTTCATGTTACTGTTTTTTGCTGTAGTGTAGCAGTGAATTTATTTATTACAGCTGTTTTGACCCTTTTGTTCGAAAAGAAAAGCATTCACTCAAATACCAGTAACTTATGAGCTGCGTAATTCACAAAGCTGAACATGAGTGCAGTCGAGCCACATGCATTCCTGTTCTTTGACCCAACCACAACAGGGTGATTTCCATCCTATGAAGACGGATGTGTTCTAATGGGAGGTAGCTGCATGGACAGTGGTATAATCTCACAACTCCACTGTCTTCCTTTTTGTTTTGGCTTTCTTCGATGCCTTAAAAGAGCCCCATGTAAACCGATGAGAAAATGTATTTGTACGTTAAACTTTAAATTGACTTTTGGTAACTCCTGTTTATGTAAAATGTTGAAGTTGTTACAAGACATTGGTTTTACTTTCTGTTTAGCTTTTCACGTTTCCTCATATTTCACTCCGACAGTTTTCCTTGCCATCACTGCTGCCGCGCCTGCAGCTGCTATAGCTACTGCGAGCAATCAGCCTGAGCCCATTTCTCCTCTCAGAGAGCGCCCGCCTGTCTTTTACGCTTACTCTGCTCCACTCACTCATAACAGTGAGTATTAAAAAAAAAAAAAAAAAACAACTATTCCAGAAATACTTGAATTCTCTGTCCTGCTCTATTGACCAAGATGTTTTGTTTGTTTTATCTCTTTACTTTGCCTCTCTCATAGTTGGTTCAGCAGCTGTGTCTGCTTTAGCTCCAAACCAAATTCAGTCACTTCCTCTAAAAGAAAGCGTGATTCAGGAGCCTCTCAACTTGTCCAGCCGAGAGAGGCCCAGGAGCCCACTGCACAAAGCCAATGGACGCATTCCAGGTACTGCCAACTTGGTTTTTGAAGAGCTGAACAATGATTTTAAACTGTTTATGTGGCCTCCAAACTTCTTGGATCTCAATCTACCAGTCATACATAGGACATGGCGAATAATAAAGTCTGATCCATGCAGATATCACCTTTGAACTTGCAATATTTTTGTATCAGATACCACCTCACACATTCAGGGATCCAGTTAAGCCTATGGCCTAAATATATATCTTTTGTTTTCTGGGAATATCTACTATGGGTGAAAGAAGCTTAAAGAGACATAATTTGTGTTTTGGCCAGAGTGCAGACTGTTGTGGGACTACGTATACCAGCTGCTGTGTGACGATCGTTACCAAGACTACATTCGGTGGGAAGATCCCGACACACATGTATTCAGGGTGGTTGACCCCAATGGACTGGCACGCCTCTGGGGAAACCACAAGGTGAGTCACCAGATCTTCACCTCATGAGGAAATTGAACAGATTAAGGAAAAGCAGGGCACACAGAACTGTCATTTCAAGCAGTGCAGACTTTTTTAGTGGCATCTTTACTCCTTTGACAGAACCGAGACAACATGACCTACGAGAAAATGTCTCGGGCTCTGCGGCACTACTACAAGCTTAACATCATCCAAAAGGAGCGAGGACAAAAACTTCTGTTCAGGTCTCTGGTGATTTAGCTTTTTTCTCTTCTCCAAAACCGAGCAACATCTTGCTTACTGTTTTTCCATTGGTTCCCCTCAGGTTTCTGAAGCTCCCCCAAGACATCAGGAAACACCACATGGACACATCTGAGTCCCCTGAACACACACCACCTCAGGATGTGGACTTTGCTGACAGCAGTAGTTTGCAGGACCTCAGTGACGATCACTTTGAGGTTTCGCCTGACCGAGCTTCTCCACAGCCTCCCCCGACTGGTGCTCCAGTGGGATAGAGAAGAATAATATATAAATTCAGGCAGAACAAATAAATATATCTTTTGACAGTTTCAGTTTTGAAAATGATCCATGCTTGTACAGATTGACTTGGATATTCTTGATGTTTTCTGAAGTCGCTTTACGTGCTGTTCATCATTTTACATTTGAATTAACACGAACATTCAGGTAACAAGAAATATGGAAACAAATATCTTGATTCATTCATAAAATCATTGTAGCACACATAGGTTTGTTAAACACAATCAAAATATGATTTCTGGCTTTATTTTCCACAAACCATCCCAATCTGGTATATAAGTGATAGCTGAAGCAGGGGCTAACTGTGATCAAACAAAATTTCTGCTGGTTCTTTTGTTTTAATATTTTTTTTTTATATAATGAAGAAATTGTTTTAGTGAGAGTTTTGGATGTTTGCTTTGCTTATGGAAATAAATGTTTTATATGACAGTCAAAATTTCTATTTCCCTTTCATAAACACAGAGAGTTACCAAAATATAATGCCTTGAAAATGGCACTATATTTTGTTGATTCTCTGAGTGAAGTTCTCCGATCTACAATCAGAGAATGAAGAATGTCCATGCTTCCCGTCAAGAACGGACTTTTTTTTTTGTTGACAGTTTTACAGTTCAGCCAAACTTTCTACTTTTGATATTTTCAAAGCTTAGAGTAATGTTTTCTAACCTACGGCTTTATGCAACTTTTCCACTTTGTTAATGACCCGTCAAATGTTCTCAAACAAACTCGTGATCCTTTCGTAGACATGGGTTGCAACATTAAATTAAGCGCAGATAAAGTTTAATTTACCACATTGTTTTATAATGAGGTGACTTCTGAATGTAGCAGGTTGCACGTGATTTTATACAGAGGTAACAGACTAAAAGATGTGCATGCCACAGTTTAGATTTTTATTCATACCCTTTGCTTTCACCCTCTACAAATTGAAAACATTTCTTGGGGTATGAATACTTTTAGAGGGCATCATATCATGCAGCATCGTTTGCTAAAATAAAAATAACTAAATCTGTCTTTGCAGATGTGAAAGAGATCTCCCTTTACACTCTGTTGTTTAGCAGTGTGCTAAACTTGTACCTGCAGGGGATGCTGTAGAAGCGCGTTAGTTAAGCTGTTGCCTTCTATCTTTTCTTGTTTTGGTTTGTGTGTGTTTTGTAAAAATTGCAAGTTGCACTAATGGTCTTTAAGAGCCCTCAAAGCAAAGAAATAAAGCTGTTTGAATTCAGTTTGAATAGAATTAGAAAATTAAGGAAAATCTAAATGAAATAAACACCACAGACATTACATGTATTTTTGGGTGTGTTTTGCAGAAATAAACTTGAAGATATCTTTCAGATTCTCTGGTGTTAATCAGTCATATGCCTATAATTTCTATGTTTCAACATAATAAACTTAAGAACTGAAAGTGCCTTCTGACTTAAACAAGGAGGCCTTGAAACTGCCAAATCACATGGCCATGACCAATACGATGTGTCCAATTGGGATGCATTTAAAAATTCTCCCTGACTAGCCCTCAAAGACTTTTGACTGAATGCTTCATAAATGCCTGTTCCATCTTGGCACATTTCATTTGCTGTTGACTCTATAATTCTGATTAGATTAATGCTGATCAATAATTATTAGGCTGTTGACACTTTTCAAGATGCCCCACAGTATCTCCAGCTCTCACTTCCGTGAGGTTCCTTATGATATTTCCTTCTCTGGGTCTGGATTCCTGGCTACCTATCAGCTCGGGGTTGTTCTGAGCTTCCTGAAGTATGCGCCCTGGATCCTGCAGTCGGCTCCCCACATCCTCGGCGCGTCTGCCGGTTCTGTGGTAGCAGCTGCAGTTGTCTGTGAAGTCAACCCAGGTAAGTAAACTTGTTGGTTGTTCTAAATTTACTTTGCTATTTGGGACTACGACTTTAACCTCTGTGTCCTTTCATGTCACAGCTGCCATTCGGGATGAGATCATCCTTTTTGTCAAACAGGTGATGGCTGCCCCACTTGGACCCCTGAACCCTTCCGTCAATGTTTTCAAGTGGTTGGAAAGTGTTTTGCGCAAGCACCTTCCTTTGGATGCACACCTTTTGGCAAACGATCGACTTAGTGTTGCTGTGACACGACTGTCAGATGGGAAGCACCTAATCATGTCAGAATTTCAGTCCAAAGAAGATGTAGTGAAAGTAAGTTTGTGTTCATGCAAAATATTTTTTTTTTTTATCAAATAATAATATGTCATTGACAATAATAGTGGTATACTGCATTCTATTTCATGGTTTATAGTAAAAACCATTAAATGAATTGCATTAATGCAATTTCTCTTTATAATGTGTCTATGTAATGGGCCTCTTTATACACTGTGTAAGAAGACACATAAGCTAACTATCAACATACCCCTATGTTATAACTGTCTGATATTCAATCACACTTTAAAAGTGATTTTTATGAAATCAAATTTTCTTTTGTCAGCTAATTCAAATTTGTCAAAATTATTTCTATTTGCTACTAATTGAAAAAAGGATAAGATTCTTTTCTTTTCTTTTTTTATTTATAAAAGTTTGTCATTATTCTTGTCAAAGTCAGAACTTAATCCTTTTTGTGATTCCTCTGACAACTAAAGATTTAGGCTTGTTCATGTCTGGATGTCTGACGCCTGAAGATGTTGATCTTTGAACCTCCCCTTCTTTGTAGGTTGGCACCATCACAGATGATGATGTAAAACTTTCTCCACCGTGGACAGTTTCACAAAATCAACATTTTTGAGCTTAATATCAAGTTGTATTGTTATTCTCTCATCAAAATAGTACCTGGATTTTTGCTTTGATTATTTTGCATGTTTGAGTACGAATGGCTGTAAACAGCATAATGGAAAAGTGTGATGATGTCTTAAGAGACTAATTTTTTATAACTGAAAGTATCATAGTTACTTGATTGTGCAATAAAATAAAATACATAACTTTCCCCCTATAAAGCACAAAACCGATGACATTTATATCCTTGATGAATGTATGACATTTCCGACAAATCTATATGTGCCGTGTTTGTTGTCTAATAGTTACTTGTGTGTTGTCTCTAGTCTCTCCTGTGTAGCTGTTTTGTCCCTGGATATTGTGGCTTTCTGCCTCCAGCCTTCAACGGAGTGGTGAGCATTTCACAAGAAGTCACACACTAATTCCAGGAGATCGCTGAGTCACAAGGTTTTTATGTTTCACCAGCACTACATTGATGGTGGCTTGAGTGGATTCCAGCCCTTGCTCTCTGAGCCGTCCAGCCACACTCTAACTGTATGCCCATTCTCTGGAGAAGCTGATATATGTCCAGCTGATCCTCCTTGTATGATGGACATGGTAGCTTCTGGAACTCCTCTTAAGTTCAACATGGCTAACACCTTCAGAATCATCAACGGTCTTTACCCTGTGTCTTTACAGGTCAGATGCTGTATTGGACTTTTTCTTTTTTAGACAAAAGTTTTATTTTTTGCATCGCTAATGTGTTATACAGTATTCTTATAGAATGACATTCAGAAAGTTCAGTAGTCAGAAATCTTACTTGTCTCTGTTTTATTCCTATGAATTGCCAACAACCTTTTTCAACTACCCCACTGTGGCAAACAATGGGGTGATTAGTGCTGGGCAATAATCACATTATTCTAACATCCTAACACAACTGCAAAACATGTTTTATTCCCACTATTTACACATAATTAAAATGCTTATGCATTTCATTACATTTCCTGAAACTTAGAAAAATCTAATTAGGATTTACTTTTTTTCTTATAAGTTATTTTATCAAAATAGTACTTTTGTCTTTCAATTTAGTAACTTGGCTTTACTACATCATTGACAAGGTGCTACAAAATTAATTTAATATAAAACACAAAGTGGCCAAAAGTATTTCATTACTTAGTAGTATTTCCATTATTGACCATCATTGCAAATTTAGTTTTGACAACCCACTCTCTGCTCATTTAGCAAGACGAAGGTACACACACATTTTCACGGCAGGTTACCAGGTGAACTTTCCACAATGTTAGCATCTATTTGTGTTGAGATACATTTCCTTGAAAACAGTTCAAAACCCCTTATGTATCTAAGCCTAGCAACTATGCTGTACAAAAATTAATTGTTTTCAAAAGAGATTTATCTTGGTTTTGGTCTTTGAAAACATACGCAACTACTGACACCTGGATTTCATATAGTAACACTATTTGTTCACCCTTTCAGGCCATAGAGCAAGCCTTCAATTTTGGCTACAAAGATGCCATCAACTTCCTTCAGAGCAATGGTGAGTCAAGTTAAAAATGAAATGCTTTACGTTTACAAAGCATTTAATTTCTGTAAGAGAGAAAAATCATTGATGTATTTATTTTCTATTTTAGATGTCGGTCTTGCTAAGATAGGGCGTAGTGTATCCCGCGGACTCTCAAACGGTAACTCCACCAGTCCAAAGACATCCAAAGAGGAGCAGAAGATGAAAGGAGGGGAACAAACTAACCTGAAAACAGCTTTCAAAGAACACGGATCCATGCAAATGTTCAGCTCCACCGTGCAAGAACCCATTGAAGATCCTCTTCACCATTTTTACTTAATGAAGAATGGTAAGGTTGTCACTAAGCGCAATCATCTTTAGCAGCTAATTGATTAATGTTAAAATTTACTGAATTGTTTAGCCAAACAAGAGTAATCTGTAATCTATAGGATGGTAATCTAAATTCACAATCAGAGCATCTCTAAGAAAACATGCATTCTCAAAGTCAAAGCAACATCTGACATTACTAACCACTGCTTCACGAAGGCAGCTTTAGAGTACTGAGAGGCACAGCTTTCAGTTCAAAGAAATATGAAACTGGCAAACTGAATTAAATGCCAGCGGTGTAACAATGGATTTTTTTTTTTTTCAAATTATTAAACTGCATTTGGAGTGAGATTTGCTACATCTTTAAAACTGAGATCAGTATACTGATTTATTCCATTAACTGTGTGCTTTTATATTTCAGTCCTGATGGGGAATATGACAACTTACCTGAGTATGTTTGGGTTACCAGTGAGGATCTTCTCTCATCTGCTTCTACCTCTCATAGTGTCTTTCTATGCTGTGCTCCAAAGTAGACAAGGGTAATTAATACACTTAAGGCACACAAAATGTTTTTTGTTCTTTTTTCATCAAAACTGGTCTCATGTGAAAGTAGAAATTACCCTTTGTTAAACAAGGAATTGTGATACATAAGCCTTTATATTTGTATATTGCAAGCTTAATCATGCTGTCTTTGTCTGGTAAAATGACAAATGTGACTCTAAAGAGGAAACCTTTGGTTTTCCGGCACTGTATTTTTGAGTAAGTCAGATATACATGTTAACACAATTTAACCACAACTATGTATTATTTTTTTCACTTAGACTCAAGATGCTCCTTAAAGACGTCCCTGAGTTTGTTGTTTGGAATTGTTATTTCATTGGGCATTGTGGGATTTTCTTCCTGAACATTTTCATCTGTAGCCTCAAAAGACTGATAAAAGACCGGTAAGATGTTTTTCACCTCAACCTGGAAATGTTGTTACATGCTTTAATATGGAGATATTAATTTCACCATGAACACAATCTTTCCATTTAATTTTAGCAACTAGATTCTGACTTGTTTTGACTGAAATGAACTGACTTTGTGTTTTAGGTTAACACAGATCACCTTGCTGCTGCACTGGCTAAAGATTTACACACCGCACAAATCCATGTGAGAGGAGCAGGATTTATTACTTTCTGATGTACATTTTGATTTCAAAAGAAACCAGCTGCAGCAACATTTGAAAAATGACGAGTCTCTTTCTCTCAGGTTCATGGAACCACAGAAAAACAACAGCATCATCTAGTGGTACACACTTTGTACAAGTTTGGACCAAGTTTATTGAATAATAAAAAGAGAGGACCGCCTGTAAGTCATGTACGGTAACTTTCACCTGAAATCAACAACGTAACAGTCAGACATAGTTGGGTGAAACTATTTCTACATAATGGCAGATAAGGCTTTGTTATGTGATCAGAGAGACAACCTTGTTGACTCCATTAAATCCAGTAAAACCTGTTAAGTGTTCATGGTTCAAACTTGAATAACCAAAGTGAGCAGAAGTGAAACACTGTATTGATCAAAATTGGTCTCAGAGAGACATTTTAAAACTTGTGATTAAATAGCAGCTCTTATGTTTTACTGCTATAACCAGAAGATGAGACATAACTTTTGTTCCAGAGTTTTTTTTTTAAACCACTTTTGCCCAGAGTAAATGTTCCATTTGTCAAATGTCCTGTTTCCGTTTTGTGCATTTCAACCACAATCTGAGTTGAAGCCTCAGCTGACCGTGGGGCTTTTGTAAGAGGAGGTTGTTGACAGTAACTGCTTTGTCAAAGTGGAGGGTTACTTGTATAATGGTCTTTGTGTGCTTATATGTTTATTATGGTTAGGTCTCTACTTTACCTTAATGCCACTTGTCTAGATTCAGTAATCTACAAATATTTGTTGAAATGTGCCTAGTAGCTCTGTAATTCTGCACAAATTAGCTGTTTTAGTCTCACCAACTATGTTTTCCCCTTTTTATGAATGAAATTAAAGAAATGCAACAAAGTGTTTTTGTAAGCATTACTTAGCAGTCAGTGATAACTATGTAAAGGCCAAAACATCTCTGAAAGTTTGTTTATTTCTGCGGTCAGTGACTATCTACACACAATACAAACACTGCTACCGGTGACTTGTTGTTTTATCTTACAAAATCTTATTTTCCTTCAACTTCCAGTGATAGGAAATAGGAGGAACTCAGGAATTTTTCTCCCCTAAATCAGTGATTACATAAAAGTCTACAGGTTTAGAATTAAGATTAATGACAAACAGTCCAAATATATTTGAACATCCAAAAGGTTACCAAAGCGCTTTACGGTGAAAATAAAATATGAAGTCACAAAAAAAGCCAGAGAAGTCAGTAGCTGGGAACAAAATTAGCATTTTTGCACCATTTTCTATTTTCAATAAAATAAAATGTCACAAATATTGTTACATATTGTTCCTTCATTTGCATTTTATTTTCTCTAAAGTTTAAACGTTTAAGCTTTTTGCCTGTTTGCTGTTGCCGCTTGAAAACCAGACAAGTTCCTTGGTTTTGTGTACAGCTTTGACCAATGAAGTGGATTTTAAAAATAAACGAAGATGTATATGCATACACACACAAATGTTTGCTGTCATGCAATGATGACAGCGAACAAACACGACTGTGAGGACAAGAGGAGGATCTGACATCGAGTGTCTAAACGAGGAGCCCTCGCAATGGGGAACACGAGTAACACGAGTAATCTGAAACGCAAGAAAAATGAGACAGAGGACGCAACACTCAAAGCTCAACAGATCAATTTAAAAATGTGAAACAAAAATCACCTATGTGCGTCAGGGCATCACTGTGGCGCTAAGTATTAGAAGCCAATTTAAAGAAATAAGTCTTAAGTTGTGACACAAAAAAGCACCAGATCGTCGGTTTAGCATAAATTATGGGGAAGTTTTTTTTCATATCGTGGGAGCAGCACTGGCAAAAACAACGAACATCCAGTTGTTTGTAACGTGACCATGGTAAGGTGAATCAATTGGAAGACCTCTCATATAATAAAGAAAAATGGAAATTTCTGAGAATGGGGTGAATATTACTTACATTCTGTAGCTAATAAAGACTAATAACTATTTATTAAAGTCTATTTATTTGACAGACCATACTCCTGTCCATGAAACAACTAATTTCTCAAATTCAGCTGAAACCTGCACCATCAGATGATTTAATTATGAATGAAGGGAAATACTTGTGTGAGTGTTTGATATTGAATCTAAATGAGAATAAAAAAAACAAACAAACATGGTAATATATTGATATATATTGTAGTAGTTCTCCCAATCACAATAGTAATATTTTTTGTAACTCTGCTCTTTGCTTTCTTTCTGACCTTGGCTTTTTTGTGCCCTTCTAACTTATCTGTAATGTCCTTCACTCCTTGTCCATTATCTCGAAATCATTGTGGAACTTTCCGTCTTGACGTCTCGTTAATGATGAAGCACTCTCATGCATCTTTAAGCACTTGACAGGAATCTTCCACAGTGAAGTCTCAGTTTGTGCAACACAGCAACTCTGACCACTTATTTTTTTCTTGAATCCACAATGTTACAGGTCTGATATTTCTCTGGATTTAGCATAAATGTGGAGTAGGACACTGTGAAAGTCAATCTTTGACCATTCCCCCCCTGACCTTTAACGTTTTAAGTTAATTGTTACCTGTGTCAGTTGTAACTAAATTGGAGGTTATGGGTGTTTACTTTCCTGATTACCGTGGGTGCACTTACAAAAAAGCAGGTGCTGCTTCTCTCAAAACAGAGTTTCTATCAGCTTTACTGAGAAGTATTCTAGTTTCTTGTATTATTTGCCGCCCAGCTGGTCTGGGACGTGTTGCATGTTGCATTCTTTAGGAACTCTTTTAGGTCTTCTTACATCTCGATGCAATGAGGCATGGGATTGCCCGTCTTCCTGCATTTGAATCATTTAGAGCAGAGTCTGTGCTTAAAGCTGCTGTAAAGAGACCAGGCAGTTCTGGATGGACAAAGCAGCCTTTTGTGGTATTTTGTCAGACATATTACAGACATATCCAAAAAAAAAATAAAAATCTCAAATAAAGGTTTTGAAGTGGTCATAGTCTTGGCCTTAAACATTTATGTTTGTAGATCTGAGTGTGGATGGATTAAAACAATTCTGTATAGAAGAGTGACGCAAAACTCCTCCACAGAACTCAAATGACTGACTCCTGTTTTCGCAAACGCTTGGTAGCAGCTGTAGCCTCTAATGGTGACATAACCAGCCATTGTCTTATAAAAATCTACTTTTTTAATGTTATTTCCTCATCAAAAAATACAGATGTAGCTTTAATCATTAAATCTTCCATGGCAGCCTTTTGGTGGTGACTGAATGCTTGCTTATGAAATTGCGCTACCTATTTACTAAAAGCTTTGCCTTGGGGCTTCATTTTCCACTTGAACATTCAGCCCACAGAGCACACTCACACACACACACACACACACACACACACACACACCCACACACACACACACACACACACACACACCCCCACACACACACACACCCCCACACACACACACACACACACACACACACACACACACACACACACACACACAAAAGATAAAAACAAGATGAAATCTGTGAAGAGGGAAATACTTAGAACAGTTAAATTCCTAATAAAACTGTAATGTAATGTTCAGCATTGGTCCAGTAACCCCACTAACTTTAGGGTCACTGAACTCTGGGTGAAATGCATAATTGTGTAAACCTACTAGTTTTAGGGTCACAGTTCTTCTTTGCAAGATAAGATGCAGGACTGGACAAAAACAACCTCAACATTTCATTTCAGCTGCTGCAAAAACAGCCACTGAAAAATTATCATATTTACTAATGGTATTATTTTACACCTATGTAACACGGCATAGTTTTGCTTTTTTTTTTTTCCCCCAAAATCTGTCCATTGCGATATGCTGCCCTCATGTGAAGACGTTATCAGCCCAGACGTGACATAAAATCATTCGTCTCTCAAGCCCAATTGCATCTAGTGAGTTTTTCAACTTTCCACCCCATTACCGTGGCTGCTCGTAAGGTATCATCGTGTCCAACAGTCCATTATGCAGACTGGGTGGTGTGTGAACTCACAGCTCCTGTTTCTTCATAAGCATCAATCACCCCTCCTTTCCCTCGTTTCATTTACATCTCTTTTTCACACAATGACCTTGAGGGCTCCATAGTGTCCGTACAGTGTAAAGTGTAAAGCCAACGGCTCTAAAACTGAAGGTTTGATAAGTCCTCTGCAGAGTTTACAGCCAACAGTAACGAGAACGACTTGGAAATATTCTAATGAGCAGGTGATTAAACACACTAGCTTGTTCTACTTCAGCTTGAAATTTTGGAAACATGTTCACAGTCATTGTCCATAGACTTGCGTCACAATACAACAGTTATAATGTGACAACACAATTCAGCTCTGAAGTTGCAGGGGAGTATGTTTTAATCTGCATTGCAAATGAGCAATTTCTTCAAGAAGTTAAGACTGTGTTATTCTCCGCGTTGCTCCCTGCTGCTCACTGAGTTTTCTTCTGCTTGATATCCAAAAACATCACTTATTTATCTATTTCTTAAATCAGTATGCAACACTATGAAAATGTAGTTTTATGACTGCCTTGAGCAACTTCATCACAATTATCAATATTAGCAACGTTTTGTTAGAATGCGTTGAAAATGTGACAAAATAATTATTACAGTTGTGAGATAATTCACAAAGAATAAAAGCAACTGCATAAATGTAATAATGGAAATCACATAGTGGTTTAAAACTCTATGTACTATCGCATTTGACTTCTGGGCTTAAGCGCTGTCATGAAAAAAAATAGTCAACAGGTCGAAACCCACAATGGAACTATTCGAGTCAAACAAAGATGATCAAACAAAATAGCCTATTTAATTAGCAAGCTAAATATTCAGCGAGCAAGCTTGTTAGCCTCACACTAAATATCTTGGTCCAAATGAAATATTTAGTTAGCAAGCTAAATATTTACTTTGAAGCTAAACATTAAGTTTACCAACTACATATTTAGTTCAGAGCTAAACATTCTGTTTGTAGCTTCAAACTAAATGGCTTTCTACATAAATATTTAGTTTAAATCTCTAGGTGACCTCTATCGGTGTCGAGGGACTAACAACAGAGTGAAAGTGAAGACACATTCTTACCTGAAAGGGCTCACAAATTGGAATTCATGAATATAAAATTTCTTTCTGGTAAACTGGCCGCATAGAAAATTGGGATAACTCTTATTATGAAATATGATTATTCTCTTCAAGATATATTTTTTGTTGTTGTTGGATTACCAAATACTTATGCCAAGAACAATTTTACAGTATATATTGAGGTTTTTTTTTTCAGTAAATAGAGCCATTCCACAACCTTTCAGTGACTGACCTGTATTATCAGTCTATGGTATTTCTATATTTGTTTACTTTGACGTTTATTTGACACATTTTTTGTTAGCCAGTTCAATTCCCTCAATAGGATCTCTGACTTATCAAAGCAGGAAAAGTAACAGGAATTACTAACATTTTCCAAAAGCTTCAGCATGAGCAATTTAGAAATGTTTGTGAATCATGTTTTGTTGAGTTTTCTTTTGCAATATGTCAACAACCAATTTACTATTGTGTCATTCTGAACTGAATACAGTATATAAATACTTGTTCATTAGCTATTCGTTTGATTGCATATTTACTTTAAGCTTAGCATAAAATATAAATATTGAGCTCTAAAGAGCAAAATTAACCTAATAGAAGCAGAGACGAGACAAAATGATTAAAGCTGTGGTTTATTGCTTTATTAACACGTCTTAGCTACTGTGAATAAACAAAATCAGTATATGATTATGAAAAAGAAAATACAACCTGTGTTTGCTTTACAAACATTCTGTAAATACAGTTTTTTTTTTATTGAACTTTAGGCCCACTGTTACGCGTGATAGCTGTCGGCTATACCTTTGCATTTTATGCAAAGACTATTTTAAAACTAAAATATTTCATATCACAGTTAACTAGTTTATAAACCTTTCTATCATTTCATTCGATACACAGTTGGTAAATTAGTTATTTACAAATTAAGCTGTGCAAGGTTTAAGTCAGTAACAATGATCTGACCATTGCAACAGGATGGGAAGCAATATATATGTATAAATATGGATCCACATTATAAAAATATCTTTAAGGTTCAAATAAACAACTAAGCTAGTTTTAGTCATCATTGCTTTTCAATCAGATACCTTTTCTGACTCCATACATTTATTGCAGTAAATTTTGCAATATCTGTTTCAAGTAGGATAGTTATTGTAATGGATCATTGTGTTTTTTTTTTTTTTTTGTTACGTTTCGTCTTTGAAAAAAGAGAAATTTCTTTTGCAAAAATTATTCAATAAGCTAATATCTTTATATTAACAAATAAATGCTGTTTTCTCATTAGTTAGCAATACTTCAAGTGTCTTCAAATATCTTAAAGTTAACAATGAATGTTATGACATTTTTATTTAGAATTTACAACAAAAAAAATGTCAAAATGATTTTTTTTTTAACAAGCAACCTGAAATGGAAAACAATGAAGATGAATGCTTTTTAAGTATCATTGTTATGTATGGCAAAATCAGCAGTATACTGATGTTATACAATTTAAGGCACTCCATTGGAATCCGTAATGTGGAGTAAGTTACACTGTAGGTAAGTAGTTTTTCTTTTTTTTAATCTCAAAGTAAGTGAGAAATTGTTAGAAAAACAATATTTGTAAGTAAACACAACAGCACTAAAATTAAAACATTTTTCACAAGCAGAATTGAAGGAACACTGTCAGCTTTTTCAAAAAACTTTTTATTTTAGAACTAGGTAATTAGGTGAGACCTGCCCATACTTCCAATCAAAAGAAGTTCATCCTTAGCAACATTTTAGGCTTGGCTACACAAATAATGTTTTCAAATCAAAATAAGATACCAAAATTTGGGCAGATATCTGATAAGATCTTGGTACCTTTGGTCAGTTTATTAAAGCGTGGTTTTTGCAGTAAAGATTTATTGTCTTTACTGTAAAACCTTGAAAGGCTCTTCATTCATAATGGTTTCTCAAAGGGTTTTATTTTGGGTGGGATTGGAAACAGTAATTCTTCAAGTCTTGCTACACATTCACAAACAAATATAGACCTGGGCTTTGATTCAACCCATTCCATCACAGTACCTATGTTTAAACTCACTGTCCTCTTGGATGATGAACCTCCAACTCTTCTGTTGTCATATAGATTTTTATCAATTGCCTGTACTTAGCTCCATCCATTATTCAATCCATTCCCACCTTTCCCGATACTGGGAAGAAAAGCACGTCTACAACATGATGTTGCCAACACTGCAATTGAAATATAATGATGCAATTTTTGCATGTTGGTTAAAAAGTTACATTTTATTCTAACCTGGTCAAAACAGTGTATTGTTTGATGTGTTCCCAATCTGGCTTTTGGCATTCTGCAAGCAAGACTGGGTTTAAAGTCTTACCATACTACCTCTTCACAAGTTTGTTTTAGTCCACCATATAGGGTTTTAATAAAAAGTATACTGAGGCCTGTATTTGTGACATTACCAAATCTGTAAAAGTTCAAAGAATATGAATACTTTTGCAGAGCATTGTATACATTTAATTTGTGGTCATCATGATTTTCATCTTTAGCTACATTTGACATTAATTGTCTGAAAAATGTGTTGTAAATAAAGATATGTGCTTAGATGTCTTTTAACCAAAATAAGCTAAGAATATGAGAAATAATGGCCAAGTTTAAGAGAAAAATCAATGTTAAAAATGAAAAAAAAAATCCTCTCTAATGATAGTAATGAAAGATTTACATATCTGAAGCTACGACAATCAGTGAAGTTAACCTAAAATAGTGAGGAATGACAAAAATTCCTAAATAATAACCGTGAATTTTCAGATAAATCCACAAAGTGCCATTTTCATACAAAAATAAATAAATAAATAAATTAAATAAATAAATACAAGAGGTAAGTCTGGTACACCCTGTTTGTTGCTATAAAACAGTTCATTCTTTGAATCCATTCTCACTGAAATTTCATTCCTTTTTTCTTAGTCAGCAGTCTGTCAGATACCGTTGACCTTATTAACTGAGGGATTGCTACCCTGTTTGGTACTTTCTTCTGCCTTTATGGCTTGCTCAAGAGCCTCTGTCATGGGAACCTTGTCCTCTGCTTCTGTCTCTCTGTGGTAGAAGTAGTTGAAGTTGGAGACAATGACAGGAACAGGCAAAGCAATTGTCAACACTCCAGCTATTGCACACAGTGTGCCCACCACTTTCCCCCCAAGTGTGATAGGACACATGTCTCCATAACCTACAGTTGTCATGGTCACCACAGCCCACCAGAAGCCATCAGGAATGCTGACGAACTGTGTGTCAGGGTCATCTACTTCAGCAAAGTAGATGGCACTGGAGAAAAGAATAACTCCAATGAAAAGAAAGAAGATGAGCAAACCAAGCTCCCGCATACTTGCTTTTAGAGTTTGTCCCAAGATCTGCAGTCCCTTTGAGTGACGTGACAGCTTGAAAATACGGAAGACTCTGACCAAGCGGATGATACGCAAAATGGCCAAAGACATGTTCTGTCCCGAGCTCTCCTGAGGGGTTGTGGCCAGTTCTGTCATCAAAGTTACAAAATAGGGGATAATGGATATAATGTCAATCATGTTCATGAGGTTGTGGAAAAACTCACTTTTGCTCGGGCACACCACAAACCGAGCGATCAACTCAAAGGCAAACCAAGCTATGCAGGCAGTTTCAATAAAAAAGAAAGGATCGGATAATGTTTTGAGCTTTGCACCAGCTAAAGAGCCAGAGTGGGATACTTTGGACTGGTTGACATGTTGAACCACTGCTGGAGAAAAGAGTTCAGTGTCATCTCTGAACTCTGGCAGTGTCTCCATGCAGAATATGATGATAGATATGACAATGACCAAGACAGAAACTAGCGCTACACACCGTGCTGCATTGGAGCTCTCTGGGTATTCAAACAGGAGCCAAAATTGCCTATAGATTTCATTATTAGGGAGAGGTATGTCAACATCTTTTATAAATCCTTCATCTTCTCTGAACTGTTCCATAGCTTCTTGCCCGAGCTCATAGAATACAATTTCATCAGCAAACACATCAAGGGGAACATTAGCTGGCCTTCTAATTTTGCCGCCAGACTGATAGTAGTACAAGATCCCATCAAAACTTGGTCGATTCCGATCGAAGAAGTATTCATTCCTCATTGGATCAAAATACTCCATCCTCTTAAAGGGGTCTCCAAGAAGTGTTTCAGGGAACTGGTCCAGTGTTTTGAGCTGTGTCTCAAAGCGAAGACCAGCTATGTTGATGATGACTTTCTGGTCTCCATCATCCAACCCTCTTTTATCTGCAAACAGATCCTCACAGCACTCCTTCGTGAGCCGACTGAAGATTGTTTCACTTTCCTTCACGCCTTCACTATTTAACAGCAACTTCCAGTTGGAGAGAATGCTGGCACAACTACTGCGACCCTTTCTGCTTGATGATGGCATCACTGGTGACTGAGGTACTTCCAGTGTATGCATTGGTGGAATGGGTGAAGATGAGGTGGATTCCCAAATGTAGGAGGGCATTGGGCTGTAATGTGAAGGGGTGGAGGAGAGTTGAAGGGGACGTAGATGGTAATTGATGTCAGAGCTGTTTTGCTCCGGAGGAACATCCACTGTGAGAGCTGTTGTCTCATCAGCATAGGTGTCAATCTCATCCTCAAGGGTGCCATTAATGTCCTCCAGGCTCTCAAAGTCAACCAGGGCCACCTCCATTGCTGGGGTTCAGCCAGCGCAATGCCTTAAAACTACCAGGATAAAAGAATCTTACACTCTGAGTAACAGAGGGATAGCTCAGTTGTCAAAATATGTGGCAGCATCAGCCCATTAGAGTTGAGTCTTTAGGAAGACTCGTTGGACAAACAGGAAGCCATTGCTGTTCTTAGCTTTTCTTCAACACCTATAAAAAAAAAAAGACAGAGACGAGAATTTGTTAGTTTTGATTAGTGGTTACAGGCTTTTTATTACCTCCCTTAAAGTAAGAATATTACCATATCTAAAGATACATTACTTTATCTTTAATTGTTTCATAGAAGACGTCTTTCTTTTTGGAAGGCATAACAGAAGAATCGGTAGCAAAGGAAGAAGTCAATCTCAAAGGCATAATTTTGATTAATAATAAAGTTTTAACATTTCTGAACTGAAGAAATACAGATATTTTCATGCCATATCAGTGTTTATTTGAAGTTTTCGTCAGGTCAAACATTTTATATCTTTTGATGTAAAAATCAGTAAATACTCAGATAAATATTTGCTAATTATTTTTCCTTTTATATAGGTTTGTAGTCGTGTACGCCTGTGCACCTAAAAGGGAACTTAAGTGTACCCTTTGCGGTGCCCTCACTACAAGCTTCACAAGGACAGGGTCGTGCAAGGTAACCATAGCTTTGCATAAATTAATGCATAATTAATTGGGGTAAAGTAATAGCATGGGTCTCCCTTCTTCCAGACAAGGCATTTAAACTGCACAATGCCATGTAATTTCCAGAGGCCATGATACTGGAAACCTTTGTCATTTGTGATTACACTTAACTACCCTTGATTGCGTACCATTTAACTGGTCTAAAAAAGGCATACAATAGAAATGCTGAATGTAACTTTGTTACATTCAGTGGATTGTGCAATAAACTGGCACCATGTCCCTGGAAATATATAATACTGCTCCTTTAAATGACTAAATATGTGATTGAGATGCCTGCAGATGTTTAATTAAACACTTCAGAGATGAATCAACACCTAAAACCAGCGATGCTGATTCCTGTCTATTTGTCTATTTCAGCCCTGCAAGAAATAGACAAAAAGCAAATGAATGAGGAGAATGACATGGAAATTGTTGGGAAGATAAATGTGGGTGGAAGGACCGGGTGGGATGAGAACTGTGCTGCAAAAAAGGGAAAGTGACAATGAGACAAAATGGGAGCTGTGATGTGGGTGGATGGATAGACGGGATGATGAGAAAAAACCTCTGGCAAGAAAAGAGGAAATATATAATGAATAGGGAATGAAGGAAGCAAAAAGATTACTATCACATGATATAAACCAACCTGTCTCTTGTAAACACAAATACTTTTTTTAATATTCCAGTATATTCATGATAAACAAACATGTTTGCTCAGTTCTAGAAAATGAAATAGCATTTCATCTTTTGCAGTCTTTGAAAATGTATTTGCATTGCCTGCCTTTTCAGTTCTGCTGGAAAAGATTCAAAGGAAAATCAAGCCCTCACATTCAGATCCAGTTACATACAATCCTATTTATTTCAAAACCATGCAAATAAACTAATCCCAGTGCCATACGATCTAGTTAAAAACCTATAATTTCAGTCAAATTCAACACAATAATATTCTGGTACTCTATTCCAATTATGTCATGAATCCAGTAAGTAAGATTGATCATAATGTAAACAAAAATGGTGTGAATTTAACATCTGTCTATATATAAAACAGTGTGCTCACAATGACTATATAGTCCTACTATTAATAGTTAAATATTATACTGACCCAAGCTCTATAACACTTTACTGAAACAAAGAAAACAAAACTTTTGAAAAAGATTTGGACTACAACTAAAAAGCAAAATACACTATAAAATGGAAATGCTTAAAAAAAGTTTGAAATTTATCTGAGAATAAACTTAATATACTTTACACAAATAAACCCAGTGAAAGCTGACCTCTCTGAGGTCAGCAAGACTTCCGTTAAATATTCTTTTTTGAGCATCCCCTTCACACAATAAACCCAATAACAAATCTTTTAAACAGGTTGTACATCAGAGCAGTGCATAAACACAGATTTTACCTTCTTTAAAAAGATGCACTCCAGATCGAGTCTTTGCGATATGGTAGTAAAATTTCAACAACTATATAAAGATAGTAGAATTTTCTGTGAGTTCTACTCCTCCTGCAACTTCCTGCTGCTCTTCTCCTCTAGGCCAGAATGCTTTATCTTTCTTGGACTACACTGGGTAACCTTATGCTGAAGAAGAAACTGGAGATGTGGCAAAGGCCAAACAAGCCTACATGCAGGCACACATGCATACACGCACTAATAAAAACCCAAACCCACACTATTTCTGTGGCACGTGTCTATGTGTATATTGACGTGCGTCCACACATGTCAACATACATACACAGGAATAGATATATACCAGTGGACGACTTTCTCAGATTTTAAGTGGCTAGCAGTGCTATTTTTCTTGTTTGGACGGAGTGCCTGTTCATGTGTGTCATATGCTGTCTATCAGTGATCTAAACGATGTGCTCAAGACCTTCTAGACTGGAACCATCCTCAGATTTCTCAATGCTTGACTCACTTACCTTACACACACATGCCCCTGTCGTATCAATATCTGACTTATTTTCAGTAACACAATGAATATTTAATATCTTACTTCACAATACACTTGTTCAATACTGGAGGGTAAACAGAATGATGGAGCTCCCTTTACACAGCGTTTCACTTTCAACACGTCCTTTATTACCGCTATCTTTAAGCCTTTTAACTGCCCACCGTGTCTAAGCTGGGTATCTTTAGAGCATAAATCTTTAATGACCGTGAGTCTAAATTACTGTTTAAAATGTTCCAACATTAAATCGAAGAAACTGGATATCTGAGCTCTTGAAGGGGTCTCTGGACATTTATTTGGAAGCTAAATGTGATGGATTTTGTACTGTAATTCAATCCATTATGATCTTCTGAACATATATCTGTTCTCTCATTGTAGAAATTATTTGCACAACATGGTATGTATGGAAGCTGTGAGTCTAAATTTAAAGGGATGATGTGTAGACTAAAAACATTTGTAATGGTCGAAAACCTTCAACATCTTTCTGTAAAGATCCTGTAAAGGATGTCAAAAATCCAAAACTACTTTGTATAAGTAATTCAGTTCTTTTAAAGTAAGTTTGTAGTCAAAATGTCCTTCCACCTTTCAAAAACAGTTAAATTATCAATTATATTACTCAACTTACCAGATTACGCATAACGTTCCTCCGACAAAGAATAGACACTCAAAAAAGCTAAAACATTTCAGTATAGCTTCTCTATGAGAATTTCATCAACAACATAACTTCAAAATGAAACTATACCCTCAAAAAATTACTCATATTCTGGCAAATGTAGCTTTGAAAAAAAAAAAAAGATTCACACAAGAAGTTTGTTGCTGATGGAAAATGAGAAAGGTAGTCTTCAAAAGATAATAAAACCAAATGAACTTATCAGTGCTGTTTAGAAAATAAAACCTCATGAGTTATAAAATCTCTCATGATATCTGATCCACTAAAACAACCCCAGGCCCTTTACCCCTTCCTTCCCTCCCAGGGTTGGACAAGGATTAAAAAAAAAAAATTCATGTTGAAAACGATATAGAAATCTAGGTTAAAAAAACAAAGACAAAAATATGGTGATGCATGCTGAGCCGAGCTGTGCACTTCAGTAAGCTATCCCCTGTGAATTTATTACATGTGGGTAAACACGAGCAGATGTTCTGGCAAATCTAGCTTAAGCCAATCCCTTGCTGGCTGGTTTTGCTTAAAAATGAATATGTTCGGTGCTTAACAATGTCAAAAGGTATACAGCTGAAACCGGATATTTACACTAAAGAAAAAGTACCAAACTCGTTTTTTTCTCACTTTACAAAGTAAGTAGCGGCTTCATCTTCATTGAAAGGCCTTTCAGCCCACGGAGATACAGGACTTGTTTAACAGTGGATAATGAAACTCTCTTACCAGCTTCATCCAGCATCTTCACAAGTTCGTGAGCTTTTGTTCTGGGATCGAACTGCACATTTTGGACCACAATCTATTCATCTCTGAAACGCAGAAGCCATCACATTTATACTCGCATATGATTGTTTGAACAGATGAACATGGTGCCTTCAAGAATTGGTAACTTGTTCTCTGGGATGAACCAGAATTGTGCAGCTGCACAATTATGTTCCTGATAACTTGGTTGATTTCTTTTGACTGTGTCAAAAAAGAAAGCGTTGTATTTAAGGTGTGGCCTTAAAATACATATACAGGTCTGACTACCATTAACTCAAATGTGTCAGTGAACCAAAAACCACTGCGATTTTCTTTGTTATTCTCTCTGCAAGCTACAATCCTATTATTTGAATTAATTCCTAAATTTGCTGTGTGTTGTGAGCTCAAACTACAGACATTTAATTTGGTTTTCAAACACCTAATAATCACAAATCTGTTTCATGTGTCTCTGTGCTGGTCCTGTGATAGACTGGTACCCTGAGTGCACAGAGTCTCCTACCCAATGATTGCTGGGACACTAATGCAATGGTGTGTGTGGGACCGGGGGAGTCCCAAGTTGTAGGAGTGCCTTGGCTGGTTGGGCTGGTATTTTTGGATCAGAAATTTCACCCTATTAAGCAGATTAATGCAGGGTAGGCAGCTCAGTGCTATAAGCCGAGGAATCTCTTCCACTGGATCATCACAGATACCATTGAGCTGGTGAGCCAGGCAGTTCTGTACTCAGGGAAGAAAGAGATGAAAACTAAATAAGCACTGATAGCATAACATGTTGTATTTTATGATTTCAAATGGAAAACTTTGCTTCCAGTTCCTATTTTCTACTTGCATTTAGAATATGGGTTTTCACCATTCTCTCTTGCCAGTTCAGAGTGGCAATGCTCTACTACATCTTTTTTTCCAGGTGAGAGAAAACAAAACATGACATTTTATACACATTGATCCCCTACAGCAATAGCACCAGGCCCATATTATTCTCTAAAGCTGAGCAGAAAAATTAGTAATTGAACAAAAAGCATTAGGTCCTGAGATGCGTCATGCTAGAATGTTAAGAATCCCATAAACACTGTTTTATTGGATGATGTGATCTGACTTCAAACCAAATTAGAATAGAATATGGGAAATCAGGGGTCAAATGTCAC